GCTCAAAGTCTTTTAAACAAAAATCAAAGCTTGATAGACACAATCTTACTCACACAGGGGAACGACCCTACCAATGCACTCAGTGCTCGAAGTCATTTCAGGAAAAGTCGAATCTCCAGGTACACCTCCGTTCTCACAAGTGCATCCACTGCTCAAAGACTTTTAGATACAGAAACAGTAGCTACCAAAGACACATACTAACGCACACAAGCAACGACAACTGTGCCATTCCATCACTCTTCGAGATCACAGCCGTAAGAACGCTGAGAGAGGATGATACGATCGCTCCTACTGCAGAACAAGATCTTTAAGCGCTATCTATGAATTTTATATGTTCAATTATGTTATTCCCCTTAACTGTAATTTTTTATACCCGATACTCATCCGTCCGTCTGTCCGTCTGTCCGTCCCCTTCAGCGCCTAATGCTCAAAGACTATAAGAGCTAGAGCAACGATGTTTTGGATCCAGACTTCTGTGATATGTCACTGCTACAAAAATATTTCAAAACTTTGCCCCGCCCACTTTCGCCCCCACAAAGGGCGAAAATCTGTGGCATCCACAATTTTAAAGATACGAGAAAACCAAAAACGCAGAATCGTAGAGAATGACCATATCTTTTAGACTGCGGAATCTGAATTGGATCGTATTATTATTATAGCCAGCATCAAGAAAACAATTTCATTTTTTCTCGCCCTGTCTCTCTCTAACACACACGTAGCATAGGCGGCTTTGCTTAGAGTAAAACATTAGCGCCTAGATCTCAGAGACTATAAAAGCTAGTGCAACCAAATTTGGTATCCACACTCCTAATATATCGGACCGAGACGAGTTTGTTTCAAAATTTCGCCACACCCCCTTCCGCCCCCGCAAAGGATGCAAATCTGGGGATATTCACAAATCTCAGAGACTATTAAAGCTAGAGTAACCAAATTTAGTATCCGCACTCCTGTTAGATCTCACTATAAAACGTATATCTCAAAATTTCGCCACACCCCCTTCCGCCCCCACAAAGGACGAAAATCTGTTGCATCCACAATATTGCAGATTTGAGAAAACTAAAAACGCAGAATCATAGATAACGACCATATCTATCAGATTGCTGAATCTGGATCAGATCAGATAATTTTTGTAGCCAAAAGGAACAAATCAATTTGCATTGGCTACGCAGCGCCCGACGTCACGCTCAGACTGATTTTCTGTCTCTCTCGCACGCACTCTTTGTCGTGTCGTTTAATATTAGACGCCGCCTGCTGGAGGAGAGCCATACTGACTTAGTATCGGGTATAACCGTAGAGTTGCGGTCTCCGAAGCAACTCACAACGTTCCCCCTCGTTTTTATACCCGATACTCAAAATGAGTATTGGGGTATATTAGATTTGTGGTAAAAGTGGATGTGTGTAACGTCCAGAAGGAATCGTTTCCGACCCTATAAAGTATATATATTCTTGATCAGCATCAATAGCCGAGTTGATTGAGCCCTGTCTGTCTGTCCGTCCGTCCGTCTGTCCGTCTGTCCGTCCCCTTCAGCGCCTAATGCTCAAAGACTATAAGAGCTAGAGCAACGATGTTTTGGATCCAGACTTCTGTGATATGTCACTGCTACAAAAATATTTCAAAACTTTGCCCCGCCCACTTCCGCCCCCACAAAGGGCGAAAATCTGTGGCATCCACAATTTTAAAGATACGAGAAAACAAAAAACGCAGAATCGTAGAGAATGACCATATCTTTTAGACTGCAGAATCTGAATTGGATCGTATTACTATTATAGCCAGCATCAAGAAAACAATTTCATTTTTTCTCGCCCTGTCTCTCTCTAACACACAGGTAGCATAGGCGGCTTTGCTTAGAGTAAAACATTAGCGCCTAGATCTCAGAGACTATAAAAGCTAGAGCAACCAAATTTGGTATCCACACTCCTAATATATCAGACCGAGACGAGTTTGTTTCAAAATTTCGCCACACCCCCTTCCGCCCCCGCAAAGGATGCAAATCTGGGGATATTCACAAATCTCAAAGACTTTTAACGCTAGAGTAACCAAATTTGGAATCCGCACTTCTCTTAGATCTCACTATAAAACGTGTATCTCAAAATTTCGCCCCACCCCCTTCCGCCCACACAAAGGACGAAAATCTGTTGCATCCACAATATTGCAGATTCGAGAAAACTAAAAACGCAGAATCATAGATAACGACCATATCTATCAGATTGCTGAATCTGGATCAGATCAGATAATTTTTGTAGCCAAAAGGAACAAATCAATTTGCAGTGGCTACGCAGCGCCCGACGTCACGCTCAGACTGATTTTCTGTCTCTCTCGCACGCACTCTTTGTCGTGTCGTTATATATTAGCGGCGTCTGCCGGAGGAGAGCCATACTGACTTAGTATCGGGTATAACCTTAGAGTTGCGGTGTCAGCAGCAACTCACAACGTTCCCCCTCGTTTTTTCATATTTTACGTATTTTTTTACAAACAGATCTCTTTGAACGAGATTACTGACAAAATTTATTAAACATTTTATATTTGATGTTAAATGTGTGGCCTTTATAAACAGTTTTAAATGTAAACTCTAATAAAACATTACAAATATCATACATTTAAGAAGACATCTCAATTTTATGAAATTCTTGCACTCTAAAATAAGCTTTTTGAAAACTATTTATTTATAAAGCCTAGCAGACGTTGATTACTAACTGCACTTGGCGAAAATAACCCAACTGCGCATTCGTGGGGAAAATAAAAAATTAGTTATAAGCTATATATTTATCTACAAAAGTGTAGAATACGATTAATCCTTCATCAAAATTTAATGGCTGTAGCCAGCCTAGCTCTCTTATATTGAAGTTAGTTTAAAAACCTTCGACAAAAGTCATAAACTGTATTTCACACTAATGGAAGAAGATGATGAAGAAAAGATATGTGATAATCTAAAAAAGACGAGGATTGGGAACAGTCAGATAGTGAAAGTGTGAAATCGAACCAATTGATGATAAATTATAATACGGATAATAAAGAACTACCCTACAAATATTCCTTCTGCTCGAAATCGTGTCCACACAAATGCTCGCACACTGGAGAACGACCCAGATGAGTGATTCTGGGCTTGCACACGGTGGCCAGCTTTTGTTTCAGAATGTACGAGTGCTACTCCTGTTCTGTACAATCACGCAAAATAAATTTGCAAACGATTATAGATAGCTCGGTGTGCAAGTTAGAGTGAAATATGCGTACATAAGACCAATGCCATGTAATATTGTGGTAAGTTTCCTAAGAGTAGCTGATGAGACTCAAAACCTAAATGACACTGGAGAAAGGAACCAATCCAAGTGTCTAACATGTTGGCCAATGATAAACTCCGATGAAAAGATTGCAGAAGCAATCAACGGTACCTATATATTGTATTGCTGGAAAAGGACGTAAGATTGTATTTTGAGAATGTATTTATATTATCAGCAAATCCACTTACAGTATTCCATGCCGGCACCTGTTGCAGAGGTACTAAATCCAGACGCTGTTCTTGTGCATAATCGCTAATCTTTCCCATGGGTCCTTCGATGCACAGCAGATATGCAATTTAATTATACCCGATACTCAAAATGAGTATTGGGGTATATTAGATTTGTGGTAAAAGTGTATGTGTGTAACGTCCAGAAGGAATCGTTTCCGACCCCATAAAGTATATATATTCTTGATCAGCATCAATAGCCGAGTCGATTGAGCCATGTGTGTCTGTCCGTCTGTCCGTCTGTCCGTCCCCTTCAGCGCCTAATGCTCAAAGACTATAAGAGCTAGAGCAACGATGTTTTGGATCCAGACTTCTGTGATATGTCACTGCTACAAAAATATTTCAAAACTTTGCCCCGCCCACTTCCGCCCCCACAAAGGGCGAAAATCTGTGGCATCCACAATTTTAAAGATACGAGAAAACAAAAAACGCAGAATCGTAGAGAATGACCATATCTTTTAGACTGCAGAATCTGAATTGGATCGTATTACTATTATAGCCAGCATCAAGAAAACAATTTCATTTTTTCTCGCCCTGTCTCTCTCTAACACACACGTAGCATAGGCGGCTTTGCTTAGAGTAAAACATTAGCGCCTAGATCTCAGAGACTATAAAAGCTAGAGCAACCAAATTTGGTATCCACACTCCTAATATATCAGACCGAGACGAGTTTGTTTCAAACTTTCGCCACACCCCCTTCCGCCCCCGCAAAGGATGCAGATCTGGGGATATTCATAAATCTCAGAGACTATTAAGGCTAGAGTAACCAAATTTAGTATCCGCACTCCTGTTAGATCTCACTATAAAACGTATATCTCAAAATTTCGCCCACACAAAGGACGAAAATCTGTTGCATCCACAATATTGCAAAATCGAGTAAACTAAAAACGCAGAATCATAGATAATGACCATATCTATCCGGTTGCCGAATCTGGATCAGATCGGATCATTTTTGTAGCCAAAAGCAAGAAATCAATTTTTAGTGGCTACGCAGCGCCCGACGTCACGCTCAGACTGATTTTCTGTCTCTCTCGCACGCACTCTTTGTCGTGTCGTTTAATATTAGCGGCGTCTGCCGGAGGAGAGCCATACTGACTTAGTATCGGGTATAACTGTAGAGTTGCGGTGTCCGCAGCAACTCACAACGTTCCCCCTCGTTTTTGTTTTATCTTGTTCTATCTGCTTGCAGACATCACATAACACAAAATTTAAATGAATATAATTTCTGCAAAACATTGCAGCTGACATAAAATATTTCGATAACACAGGGACACCTCTCGCGCCTAGCAGCACTTTTTGTGGCTTTTCGCATAACATAAATTGGTCGTGCTACATTTCGCGTCTAACAGCTCTATTCAGATAGAACCAATTTAAAACCTTCAAGTTGATAGAATGTTATAGAAATGTATTCTTTGTCTCTGTCTAAGTCAGGGCTAAAAAGACACATCGAATTTCACACTGGAGACCGGTCAAATGCTCCAACTGCTATCGATATCGATTGTTCATGACAATGTCGATAATTTATTTAGTTTGATTTAATCATGGAAAGCCAGAAAAATGATTCATTAAAAATACTCAGAAATCGGTTTTAGTTGAACAGGATATTCGTGCCAAGCGCTAGTCTATTTGCCATTTTGCTCATCTGTCGTGTTCGGTGGTGGCTCGTCGTGGGCCTTGGACTGATATTTGTATTCCGAGTGGGACCCCTGGGGGCCCGTGGTCGAGGCCTGCATAGCATTATAGCCGGATTTTGCTCCCAAATGATGTAGGTGGCTGGTTGTGGGCCTGTACACGGTGGCCAGCTCCTGGGCCAGCATGTACTGTTCCTGTTCTGGGTAGTCGTGTTCGCAGTGATGTTCGCCACAGATCTTGCACTCGTAGATATTTGGTCGTAGCGTGTTCTTGATGCGCTATAGAGAGGAATACGTACATTGCTATTGACGAATGCTAACAAATAGACAAGACAAATCTATCCACTTACATCCCAAAAGCTGTCACCGCCGGTCCGCAGGAAGTTGATTAGCGCATACCCTGGTATGCAGATCAGTGAAAAAGATGCGAACATCCATCCAATGCCATACGCCCAGTCTGGATAAGTATATCTCCCATTATGATACGTTGGCTCACGATAGTTGATGAGACTCAGAACCCAAATGGCCTACAAAAAGAGAGAAGGCGACATGATATATTGTTCATCAAGTTTCTACTACACCCGGATCACATACAAAGAGCAGGCAGGGTCCCAGCACAAGCCAACAGGATCTGAGATAGAATGATGGAGCCTTTCCGGTCATCTGCTTAACATTCTTCGACAATCGTCCGGTGCCGTAGAACCAGGCTATGGCGATCATTTGGCAGAAGGCTAGAAACATAATCGTCACCGAGGCAGCATAGTGGTCTATCAGCTGAAAGTAGTAGATCCCACCCTGTATGATGTTCGGCATACCGAAGAGGCACGAGATAACGCAGACAAAAAGCACAACTATCTCGTGGTAGCCCAGGTGCCTTTTAATCCAGCGCGGAAAGCCATCCTGTATAGACGTGACCACCACCTCGACAATGGCAAACTGAGAGTTCAGGCCCAGGCAGAGCAGCATGAAGAAGAACATGACCGCCCACAGCTGAGCGTACGGCATTTTGGCCATGGCCTGTGGATACACCACAAATATCATGCCCGGCCCATCGCCAATGACGTCTCGCACATTGGTGTTCTGCTCCAGTGCTAGGTTTCCCAGTGTGGAGAAGGCGAATATGCCAACCAGCAGGCTGGTTATCATATTCACTGCACTCACCGCAATCGTGTCGCGGAGTATGTTGTTGTTGTACTTGTTGTAGCTGGCAAAGGAGATCATGGATCCGAAGGTAATGCCCAGCGAATTGAAGTTCTGGGAGGCGGCATTGATCCACACATTGGCGTTCTTCAGCTCCGACCACTTTGGTCGGAAGAAGAAGCGCAGACCCTCGGCCGCCCCGTCGAGCGTCACGGCTCGCACCATTAGTATGATGATGAGCACAAACGGAAAAGTGGCCGTAAAGTACCGCACCTTGGCCGAAGACTTGATCGACTTCCATGTGGCAAAGTAAACCATCAGCCAGGCACAAATAAGACAAGCGAAGAGCTCCCATCGCATCATTCCCGGATATTCCAGGCCACCGCTAATCTGTAGCACCTTATTTCTGCAGGAAGAGTTTTAAAAGAGTCTTAGTAGATTTGTGAATTGGGGCAAATTGGAATGCATTCATTACTCAAAGAACTCCTCTGAGGGGGTGCGTGATGTGTCCGGTGCACTGGCATTGATTTCCTTGCGTTGCGGCACCCAACAGTCCGGCGTATTCCATCTGAAATTTAAAGATTGTTATTCGCGATGGCGATGGTACATAATTGCATTGCTCTACTCGGCTTAACCTACCTGTTGTTGCAGTCAATCCAGGGCATCTCCGTTTTAAATGACGTAAAGAAGTAGTAAATTGAATAACCTATGATGACGCTATAGTATGTGGACATGAGAAACGAGACGATCACACTAGCGAGTCCAGCTCCTGAAATTTTTGGGATGGATTTTAATTACTGGTATGTGATTTGCTCATCATCAACAGATATTCTATATGTTTACATTGACAGAACGCATAGTAAAAGTAGGAACCAAGATATTTTTAATAAAGATAACTCAACTAAAACTCAACCTGATTTTTGTTTCTCTGTATTTCTATTTCTTTTTCAAATGCATTTGGCCAAATCTTTTGCTTGGTATGTAATGTCGATTCAGTGAGCTAGGGTATAAATTCCCATATTCCTAATTCATCCAGCAGCAAATCCGACCGGTTTCATTTGGAACCACATGCTTAGTGTCTAGACTGACGATCATCTGCATAATGTGCAATTCGTTCTGTTTGCCACAGCGACAATTGGATGGACTCGAAACCATTCGCAAATCTTGGTTAAGTAGTTTTACACAAATTAATATTTATTATCTTAGGGCTGCGAGTGGGAGAGTCGGCAACCAACGCCGCTTGGTTGGCAAAATATTGACAATAATTAAGCGTTTTGTAAAGTTGTTTTTCAGATTTATGACCCTACTGACAACCTCAGCCTTGGGACCGGTCCGAGTGTGGAGGCGTTAGAGACGGGAGCCGGGAGCTTACTTCCGCGCCTCAAATTTTCACGCCACTGCCACAACGACAACAATGAATCCGGCTAATTAGTTTCCGTCCGTACTCAAGTAGAGCACCCCACGGGGGAATTCAAAGCTAAAAAAACATCGCTCACACATCCATGAGCATGCGAGTACACATGCATATATGTATGTACATATATTTTTTGTTAATCTAACCGACCTTGGCAATGGATCTGGCCAAGGCAGCGAAACTTTCTAGCTGGTCATGGTACGACGCGTAAGCCTCACCCCGCATCCGCGTTTTTCCATTGTTTTCCTGCCTAATTCATTGCGGCGGAAGAATATTTGTGAAACCCGAAGCATTTTCACAAATGACGCAATGAATTTTATTTCAAATAATCTTTTATTTCGAATTGGCTCTAAAAGTTACGAGAATTTAGTTAGCCCATTACCCATGAGATGTGGAGACTCCCCATCCCTCGTGTGATCTAATGGCTTTTCAATGCCTTATCTAAATATGATCAACATCGGAATGATACGAATTTGTAAGTTTTCTACGTCGCTTCGTCGTAAACTTACCTTTGAACAAAGGACATAGTTGACCCAGGGCGCCGATGGGTCCACGGCCAGTGTACTGGCCCACAGACAGCTCCATAAATAGCAGCGGAATGCTGCATATGAACAATATTATGCAAGAAGGCACTAGAAAAACACCTGGAAATATCAGTAGCAAAAAAAAATTAGATACGGGTCTGTATGTAAATGTGCGCACAAATGTGACAGCAGCTAAGTAAATAAATTAAATTAATTATAAATATTTGACATCAACAATTGCAAATTGCATAAGGCCGTACGGGCTGTACGAGTATCTCTCTCTCCCTACTTTTCCATCATTATCAAGAGATCTTGTGCTCATTATATACGTAAATGGGGCACCAGGTCCGACTCCGAGTCCGAATACGAGCCAGAGACCGAGTGACCGAAGTAAATGAAGATGGACGCGGGTATCCAAGTGACTCGCGTGATCATCCACCATGGATGGTGGGAGGGAGGGAGGAATGTACGGGAAGACGTTGTCCAGATGATGACAGTGACCGCTTTATTTTAAATTTTAATTTATGGCTTTTAAACGCTGGAGCGGAAATGCCGCTTAAAGCGCAAAATTGTCAAATGCTTTTGTAAGTGGAGCTCTTGTGGTGTCATAAGCCCAGCCAGGCGCATTCAATTGATGTCAACACTTAGTCCGTAGGCAGTGCACCCCTAACAGATTTCGCGAGCACCCAAACAGCGACCGCGATTAGTTGTTGCGTCAAATGGCTTAATTGCAGTAATCACATGCCCCATACCCCAATGGGGGCTGGCCCCGTGAGGTGCTGGTGTTGGGCCAGATGATGGGGCTGATGCGAGTGGGGGACAGAATGCTGAATGGGGTGTGATGTGGGAGGCGATGCATCTCTGTTTCCCCTTTGTTATACATATATCGACTCTGTTATAAAGAATTCTAGCCACCACAAATCAGACATTTAATCTGAATCTAAACAGGGTCCTTGTGTATATTAGGGATTGCTTTGTATTTCATTGTTCAGATCAGCCCACTTATCCATTTAATATTCGTTCATATTTAATCAGCGCTTATTCGCTAATGGCCTAAACTAATAAGGCTATGATCATATGTGCATATATGATATATGTATGTAGATCAATACCAAACACTTTTAGGCAGCAGACATGGCCTGATGCGATTCGATTCGATTGGGGCTTTACGTAATGATCCAGCGATCGATTCTTACACTTTGGCCACACGTTGGAAGCGGAAGGTGGATTGCTCCGAGTGTTTCGATGACTGGGCATCGTAGTCCTGACGGTAGGGCATTATGATGCGGTCTACTACGGGTCTGATCTCGGTATATAGCGTGGTATAGCGAGAGTAACTTTATGATATGTCCTTAGTTCACGTTATCCATGCGGCCATCACTGTTGGATTCACTCTACACACGCTCAAGCAAGGACAGGACTACGGATAAGATTACGGAACTGGGATAACTGCGTCGTCTGCGGGCTGACACGTTACTGACTACTGATCCGGGCGCTTGGCCGCCAGATTTCAGATTCCAGCAATCCAGCCAGCCGCCATGCATTGGAGCACAATGGGGCGTGGTAATTGCTCGAATCAATACCTATCTATTGATCTCGTTAAGGAACACTGCTTAAAAATAGCTGGTCCGCGATCAGAGGCTGCCTTCGACACGTTTCCAGCGCCCCAGAGGCGCTATCACATGTCCCCGACCAGAGATGCCACAATGGTGTTTAAATTCTCTGTTTGCCTGCTGTTTGAATGCTCCATGAGGCTATGCCAACATTTGCTTTTTATGCTGAGGTGCCAAACGCTGGCCAAATTTGCCACAAATGTTAGTTCGTTTTATCGGCTCCGCTTTGTAATGCTAATGGCCGTAGATAGGGCTGATTGTACTCGTTCGCAGCTGTCTACGTTTATGGATTTGCTCGATAACTTACGGCGGTGTCTGAGGATTGACCATGTCGAACAGCTCGTTGGCGGTGGTCGGCGCTCGGCGTATGACCAACTTCCGTCCGTCTGTGGATCCAATGCCAATGGAGGCAAGTGAGCGGACCGATGTCACATCCGAGTAGATCTGTTGGGCGGGCAAATCGTGAAATAGATAGGAACTGCCGCTCAGCGAGGCCTGCGGTTGCATATACAGCGGATTGGGGGCATGCAGCCCAGAAGTGGCAACCGCACTGCCACCCACAAGATTGTCACTGCTGTCGATCAGGGCAGGCATGTAACCTAAAGGTAATTTGTAGAATATATTTTAAATGATTTTATAAAGGAATAAGATTATTATACAAAGTACATCTGCTTCAATTGAAATCATTAATGAATATTTTAAGGAGGATATCCATACCGAAAATATTCATTTTCTAACGAAAAATGTTCAGGACTTATAATGAATACCCTTCTCAAATTCTCTCCTTACCTGAAACAACTGAGCGCATGCTGCTGCTGTGGCTGCCGATCCGGCGCAGATCTATGCTGAGCGGCGACACGGCCACCGTATCCCCGGACATTGTCGTGGTGGTGGTGCAGGTCAGGGTCGCGGGCGTGGGCGAGATGGGAGCCGGGATCGCCGGATCGCAATCGTCAAGGGTGAAGGTCACCGTGGCAGTCGCTCCGGGTGTGGGTGTGGCCGGTATTATAATGTACTTATGGGCACGGGAGGAGGACGAGCGTATGAGACGCGCCTGTTCGTCGCCGCCGTCGCCACAACTCTCGGCACCACTGTCCGACAGCTGGCTGTGTCGAAGCGTGGAGCGCTTCGTCACTAGATTGAGGGCAGTGGGAGAGGAGGCTGTCTTCGCCAGTCCGCCAGAGTTTTCATTGCTGTCCGACATGCTGTTGGTTTTTTTTCTGGGATCTGGTCTGTGATCTCCTCCTGGTTGCTGGTTTGTTGCTGCGCAAATTCGAGCTGCTGGGGTTGCGTTTTGGGGCTGATCATAAAACCATGTTGGACTGCGGCATCTGCTGATGTTTGCACTGGCTTGCTGGTGTTTCTGCTTTCGTATCTACTCGTATCATTTTAATGCTCACAATCTGAGGCCGGGTCTTTTGCAGCGTTTGCGACTCTCTTAGCGGTATCTTGTCGGGGCTGCCTTTAAATCACATAGAAAAACCCTGAATATAACAATCTTGTTATTGCCGTTCTCTGTGGTATGTTAGGATTAGGCTTTCAAGTCATATTGAAATAAATCAGTAGCAAAGTAGAAATATACATGGCAGAAGACAGATCATACTCTTGCCGGTTTCTGGATCATCTTTATATGAAAAAACTTTCCTTACGAAAAACTATTTTGTGTAGCCTAAGAGCACCCTCAGACAAACAAAGCTAAAGTATTTCGATAATCATGACATAACGAAAGTTTCTAAAGAATTCACTCGGACTCTCATGTACATTTTGTATGTACATTTTGTATATATGTATTTCTTCTTATTTTTTGATATAAATAAACAAGCTGAAGTTTTGTCCCATTTTTTTTTTAATTTTATCTCCGCCAGAGATAAAACTTCACACGAGCTCTTCACACAGCACTCACACAGACAGCTACTAACACTTGACTTGGCAGATACAAATTTGTATCTTATCGGTAGACTGTGCCCACTCGCTGAGCAGCACCTTATGTGGCAGAATTTCTTTGCCTGCTTTCATTTGTGATGGTTTAACCATATCAAGATAGTCTCTTCTGCCCGATTGCCGAATTCAAACAAATTGAAATAAAAGTTTCCATGGATTTAAATGAACGGACAGTACGCGTCATAAGCATGCGATGATCTTTTTGATCTGTTGTTTGCTCCACTGACTTTTCGGTATCCAAGGGTCACTGAATTCGAAGAGAATGGCAAAGCTATGCGTCAATTAATAATTACGCATCTTACACGACAATACTCGTACAAAATATGTCCCGCATATCAAGTGTCTGACACGCCAAGGGGGTTTCATTGTAACAGCAATAGCAATAAGCTGGTCTGGCCTGTTCCCCAAGTTGTATGTAAATTTTGTCTGGCAGAGCGCGAGGCACAAATATAAAATGTTTGACTAAGCTTGGAATTTGAAATACTAAATAGATTGGTGTATGCAAGTGTTGGGTTTAGGTGGGGTATTATTTTTACATAACTGTGTGCCGTAAGCCTCTTAAAAGATTACTTTTGAGACCATCTTTTGTCTTGGGATGACATTGCCAATTGTGGATATATCAGTAATTGGTTGGATCAATCAATCACTTATGATCCGTGTAGAATATAATGACTTTCTTTGTGGGGTATTCTCAGTGCGGCCAAAATCATGAGAAAACCCCAATAGTGAGAAATGTTTTACTAATTGTTGTTTGTCTAACAATGGGACACAAATTGTCATCCAATACGCGACGTTCGATTATAAATCGTAAACTTTATATGGATCTTGTGCATCATAAAGCAAATGTTCTACGAGTTTTCACACTGTCGCTTGTTCGACCATACAAAAATTAGCACTCGGACTTGTTAATGAGAGCTATCGTGGCCCATCCGCCAACTATCAATCGATAGGGCAAGTATGCCATTATACAACTATTGTTTGTCCAGTTGTCGGGGCTCAAACAAACGGAGATTGAAGAACTTTTTATTGATGGTTTTGTTGGTCACAAAACAGTCACCGCAATCGAAAACACGACACACTAACCGAAATATAATCACACACATTAATTATGGTAATCAGAACGATTGCAATTGACAGTAATAATGGTAATTTCATTCATTTTGTTGCCAGCTCAAATACAATCAACTTTGCTGGGATTCACTTTTTCTGTAGTTTTATTTATTTATTTTCCCCATTTGTTGCCTAATTTCCATCATAATACTCGTAATAACATAATCAACACACATTATATGGAATTGTATCAATTACCCGGCAACGACAGTCGCCCGGAATCAAGATATACCGGTACTTGATACTCAATGCGAGAGTCGGTGCGACTGCGATTTTATGAGTACCTTGAAGCTTCAAAAGATACCAAACTTTCGACGAATTCGCGGCCCGGGGTATACGCGCTGAATTATGGATTTCCCTTCAGACAATGGCCCCACAAAACGTGCCACCACGCGCGCTGTCAAATGTCAACTGATCCCATCCACGCTCGCGAATATCGTTTACACTTTACGTGGACGGCGGCGGTGGCGGCACCACAATCACTACGATCCGCTCTCTCATTCTCTCGTGGGGAATGGTACTCTCCATATGGTGCTCGTGCTCTTCATGTGTGGGGGCTCTGGCTCTCCATTATCAAACAAAGATACTACAACCAGAACAACAGACCAGCCAGCCATACCCATAATGGGAATAATGAACTGGGAATGGAAGTGGGGCTTGGGGTAAGCGGGTTAAGCTCGTTCTGCGGCTGCCAGACCACCTCCACTCTCCCCAAATGCTTATGCATATTAATTTTGATTACGGGTATAAAAGCAACAAAAAGAAGCTACAGTTTTGCGTCTCACAGATACAGCAGTATCTCAGAGATGATAGTTGACACAGATTTGATATTCGAGTGTTCTACGTATTAATTCTAAATTCAATAGGACATTTTGTGATTTATATTTATTTATTTATTTATTAGTTTACAATAAGCGATTACAATTAATTTCGTTTCTCATTTTTTGTCGTTTTAAATACATTTCTTTATAATTACAATTGAACTATTGTGTTCTTTTTACAATAAGGGTTTACTTTCTTTCGAATTTATCATATTTGCTGCCAGTGCAAAAAGTTTTGTCCAGATGGAACTCTATTTGGAGCTCTATAAAAGAGCTCGGATAAAATGGTACATGTTTGTTAAAGTTATAAAAGAAAAATAAAAGTGTTTGGTAATTGTGATCATTTAGGTTATCATTTGAAATAATTTGTGCACTCACTTAGGTACATCGAAGTGCGCCCATGTGTTTGTGGAATTAAGAAAATAATTTTATGCCTGGCATGGATCGGGTTCTGATTTGGGAGAGGATCAAAGTATGGAAACCTATACACAATAATGCGCTACCTAAAATACCATAGAGTTTTGCTGCCTGCGTATTATTTACAATGTCTGTCTCTTTGTGTACGTGTCTGAGTGCGAGTTTATATATTTTTATGGTATTTCACTATAAAGAAGTGCTCTTCTGTCTCTAAACGCTTCACGTTCGGCTTAAAGTAGTGACTATACATTTTGTTTACGTTTAATAATATTTATTTAAAACTTCATTTTAATAATTTAATTATCCAGGCTGATCATCACCCCTCTATATCCCTATACTCTCAATTAACTCCCATCAAGTACAGTGGCGCTCTATGAACAGGCACCGGAAACGAAAATTCGCTGCGTAGTTTCCGGTGCGTTGACAGCAGCGGACTCTCCTTGCTGGGGGAAATAGACGATGGAAGGGTTCTGGGGGAGGAAGGGCGCGCTGGTTCGTTGCCTTTTAAAGTATTCTTTATACTTGGTTCCCTACATATTAGTAAGTTTAGTGGAAGTATCTCTTTTGCATTAAAAACAATCACAACAATTTAATATTAATTGACTAAGAAACTACAAAAATAATTGGTTAACCATAGTAGAGGCTAGTGGTACAGTACAGTAGTACAGTGGTACAATGGTACAGTGGTAAGTAGTCGTGGGTGGACAGTGGTCAAAATCAAATCCTCCATTAGTCGTCGTCGTTGCAATTAAAATTAAAACAAGCCTAGTATTTCCTATGCATTAGATGGACAGTATGTATCGTTTTGTGCGCTGCTTGACGCCTCAGTGGCAGTGAAAGGTTATATAACTATTCTTTCTAGAACTATTTCCGTGTGCTTCGAGCTTAGAGTGTTTTTTTTTTATTTTTTTATTGGGAAAACAATATTAACAATAGTGGGTGGTGGGGGGGGGGGGGGGATGGGTTGTTGGGAATGGGAGTGTTGATGGTAGTTCCGCTCCCGCGGGACTGCCGTTAGGCATTACTTCGCGGTGCGGAGCTTGGTGTCTTCTATGGCTCTAGTTTGTTCGGCATCGCTCCAGCCTACGCAGCTCCTTTATGACGCTTGCTGCCATATTGGCAGCCGCGTGCCACGTCTGCTCGTCGGCTATCATCCGCTCGGTGAGGGTGTCTGCACTTACTCCTGGACTCGCCTCTCCTAGAATCTCTCGTTCCCGACGAAAGCGGGGACAGGAAAAGAAGACGTGCTCCGCGTCTTCATCAACTCCTGGCCCGCAGTAGCTGCAGTACGGGTCATCGGCGTGCTTGAAGCGGTATAGGTATTGCTTGAAGCAGCCATGCCCCGTTAGCAGTTGGCCGAGGTAGTGGTCGATCTGGCCTCTCTTCCGCTGCATCCATGGTCTCAGCTGGGGGATTAGCCGTCTCGTCCATCTTCCATTCTTGGCTTGGTCCCATCGCCGTTGCCAGCGTGCTATGGTGCCCTCGCGGCGTTCGCCACCGACTGTCAAGCCGCTCTGCCGCTCGTCCGCCAAGAGGTCCAGCGGGACCATGCCTGCCACCACTAGTGCGGCGTCCTCTGACACCGTCCGGAAGCAGCATGCAACCCTGAGGGCGCAGCGTCTGTATGCGCCTCTGCTGTCCCTGCTGTATGACGGCACCCTCATTGCTGGTGCCCACACAACCGATCCATATAGGATTATGGAGGTGACCACTCCGGCGATAAGCTGTCTGCTGCGTTGTCTTGGCCCTCCAGTGTTGGCCATCATCCTACTGATGGCCGCTGTTGCTGTGGCTGCCTTCGCGCTCACGTACTCCAGGTGCGCCTTAAATGTAAGTCGCTGGTCGAGTACTACCCCTAGGTATTTTAGGGCGGGCTTGGTCCTGATGGCAGTGCTGCCAACCATCACGCACGCCTGTTCGACCACCTTCCTGCTGCTTATGAGCACAGCCTCCGTTTTCTTCTCCGCTAGAGACAGTCCGTTCTCTGTGAGCCATGATGTTATTTTTCCCACTGCTGCGTTGCATCTCTGCTCTGCTCCTCTGATGTGCTTTGCTACCGTCACTAGCGCGATGTCGTCCGCAAAGCCCACTAGCGTGCAGCCTTCCGGTAGTTCCAGACGCAGGATGTCGTCGTACATCGCATTCCACAGGATCGGCCCTAGGACCGAACCCTGTGGGACGCCACCGGTGATTGTGTGCTGCTTCGCTCCATCCTCCGTGTCGTACAGCAATACGCGGTCCGTGAAATAACTTCGGAGCGTCCGGATCAGGTATTGGGGTATGCCTCTCCTCGCCAGTGCATTGAGGATGCTCTTCCAGCTGGCCGAGTTGAAGGCGTTCCGCACGTCTAGCGTGCACACTAGGCAGTATTCCTTCGAGCCTCCTGCCCATCGCGTTCCTGCAATGGCTTCTCTGGCCAAGCTCGTGACCATCTGGATGGCGTCGGTGGTGCTCCTCTGCTTCCTGAATCCAAACTGGAGGGTGGATAGGCCATTCCTTTGCGTCAGCTCGGCCTCGAGTCGGTTGCATACCAGCCTCTCATAGATCTTACCCACACCATCTAGCATGCATAGTGGTCGGTATGCCGATGGGTCGCTTAGGTCCTTGCCTGGCTTGGGTACCAGGGCAAGTCTCTGGCGTTTCCATGCTAGTGGTACGTACCGCTCCTGGATGCACTGGTTGTACATCCGTGTGAATGCCTCTGGGTGGGCACTGACCAAGCATTTCAGGGCCGCGTTGGGGATTCCGTCGGGTCCTGCCGCCTTGCCGTTCTTCAGTTTGGCAGTGGCCTCCTGCACCTCCTTCACCGAGAAGGTGGTGGTGGCCGCCTGTGCCTGGTGCTCAGCGCTGTCTGCCTCCTGGAGTGGTGGTTGCCGGGGGAAGAGTGCGCAGACAATTTCCCTCAGTAGGACAGGGCACTTGGGGGTGGGTTGCCTACAGAGCTTTCCCATGACCAGCTTGTATGCCCCTCCGAAGGGTTCTGTATCTGCCGCCTCACAGAGCTGCTGGAAGCATTTGGCCTTGCTGCTTCTGATGGCGTCTCTAAGGGCTCTCCGGTTTGCCTTGAATGCCGCCCCTTTAATCCCAAACTGTGGTGTACCTCTAGATCGCTGGTAAGCGCGTCGCGCTGCGCAGCACTCCCTCCTTGCTTGGGCGATGTGCTCGTTCCACCATGGTACTGGGCGGTGTCGACTTCCTCCTAGCTTCCTTCGCAGCATAGCTGCATCACAAGCCGCTACGACGGTCCTGGAGATGGATCTCGCGCTTGTTTCGGCGTCCCCGGCGGCAGCTAGATTCTCTGCTGCTGTTAGAAGCGCGCCCGTATCCAGCGTTGCTTCTTTGTAGCCAGTCAATTGCGCTCGTTGCCCCCTTGTTGCATTCCCGATGGCGGCTGTGTCCGTCATCACGGCCAGGTGGTCGCTGTGCGTGTACGTGCTCAGGACTTGCCACTTTGCGTGGCGAGTGATCTCCGGGCTTGCAAAGGTGAGGTCTATGATGGACACTCGGCCTGCTTTGCTGTATGTCGGGGTGCTTCCTGCGTTCAGGAGACAGACGTTCAGGCTCGCAAATTCCTCCAATAGCGCTGTCCCTCGGGGCGTGTTCCTGGCGCTGCCCCAGGTCGTAGCCCAGGCGTTGAAATCGCCCGCTATTATGACCGGGGATCTGTCCTTGGCGTCGTTGGCTATGTCCCTGATGACCGCCTCGTATTCACTCTGTGTGAATCGGGGGGCTATGTAGCAGCTATATATGTACATGCCATTATGTTTGGCTCTCACATATCCCATCCTAGCCGCTCTATGTGTGAGCTGGCCTGGTTGGGGGCCACAGCTCCAGATTGCCGCACCGCCGTCTGTGCTTTGGTGCCAGATCGCTTCGCTTCTTCCCTTATAGGGCTCACTGAGGAGCGCTACATCGATCTGCTGCTCCAGCACCGTTTGCGTTAGCAAGTCCTGGGCAGCTTGGCAGTGGTTGAGGTTCAGGTTCGAGCCTAGAGTGTGTGTGTGTGCATCTGTGTGTGTGTGTGTTAAACTCTTGAGCTCTTGTACAATCCATCAGAGACAATCGTTGGCATATTGTCAAGTGGTTATAGCTGACACACGCGAAAGGTCCAACGATTTCTTACATACTGCTAGTGAAAGAGTATTCTGGGGTGCATTGTTCGTTCGTGTTGGAAAATCAAGGCAGTTTTCAATTTTAAAAGGCGAGTTGAGTTCACGTTTAAAGTTACAGGAAGTGTGTGTGTGTTTGTGTTTCTGTGCTATCCCAGCAGTACTGGGAACTAGTTCGGAGGATGTGATATCACCACTCCCTAACAGACCAGGGGTACTTTCTTTACTAACCCTTAGCAATGCTTTTCATCATTTCCATTTTTACCCGCAATGTCCTACGACATGGGGACCAGCGACACCACTTCGTTTACCCCCGAACTAGTGATATGGGTACTCGTCTAGTAGCTAGTGAAATGAGTACCCATGTAGTAGCTAGTGAAATGGGTACACATGTAGTAGCTAGTGAAATGGGTACCCATGAAGTAGGTTATCAATCTTCATTTAATTTCATATTTAAATTTTGATTTTATTATATACATATTTCATTTAAGTTTTTAAGTTTACTAATTAAGGTCTGCTGTTCGCGGTGGTACTGTTTTTGAAAAAACGTTTTTTTTTGCAGCTGTAGGGCTTTCCTAATCTGGACTTCAGCTGATCCAGTATCTAGGGTTATGGCATCTATAAATATAAAATACATATATAATAGGAATACAAAAAAACCAAAATCATATAAGCTTACCAATCAAAACTCTAAAGAAGTTTTTTAAATTTTTCAGTGTCGCTTTCCATTTGTTTCATTTTCGTCGATTGTCTCTCCTATTTCGCGGCCTTCAACTTTTTCTATTTCACTGCACGACACTGTTTCTCCGCTAGCACGATTATGTTTGGCTGCATATTTATCTTATATTTCTTTATTGAGCCTACGCAAATGCCGTTTGCTATACATTTGCTTTGAATAACTGTTTAAAATTGAATAATTATAATCACTTGGACAGCCGCACAAACGCCAAACGCAAAGAACATTCTAGCAATGAAATGACCGAAAACAGAAAAGGGAAAGGAGAAGAGCAGATCAGCATAATATTTAGCTAACTGCTCTCTTCATTTTCCTCTCAAGTTTTTTCGTTTTTTCGTCTACTGGTGAGACGTTGCATCCCAACCGAACTAGTACGGTGGCTGGTGCGCGGTGGGTTGTAGAGTATACAGAGCAACATTTTTGTCTCTTCTTTGAGTGGTTCGGCGTTCGTTTACCATAGGGTTAGTCCGGAAAGTACCCATGTAGGAACCAGCCAAATCAGTAGTTCGGGCATGGTCAATCGCCACCGCCAGTACTAGAGGGATAATACAAAGTGTCGTTTGTACTACCCACACCCTAAATATTTATAGGAAGTCTTTAGTCATATATATCATCGTAATATATATAACAGAATATTAATATTGATAATCGACTAATGAAGAAGTTGTCGTTAGAGGACGAGAATTCGTTTGTAGCTGCACTCTGGGTACCCCCGCTTCTCCTACATCTTCTGTTTGGCAGTTTCTGGATTGGATTCTACATATGCATGTGGAAGCTAAATACTCTGCTACTGCTACACTACGCAAAATTCTCATATTAGTGGGAAAGAGAGAACATTAAACGTTAATACAAATAATAAAATTATTTTCTTAAGCTACTATTATTATTTGCATGCATTTTGCTTACATACAATTCTCGCTTTTTACACTTTCGTTTTCTTTCGTTTTACGTTTTACGGCCATTAGTCCGGCCCGTTTTTCCTCTTTCTGCTCACAAACGTACTTTTGTTTTTCTTTGATTCATTCTTCACATTTTCATTGAAATATCATTAGATGTTTTGCATTTTGCAGAACTTTTTGCACGTGCCTCTCAAATATTCACATTAATTTAAACTTCTGTGAAGATTACCCTTTTTCTCTGGTATTGGTGTTTTTTCTTATTTTTCTTATCGACTAAGGTTTTATAGCTAGGTGTGTGTGTTTCCAGTGTTGTGTTTAGGAGATGTAGTCTGGCGTTGGCTCGGGCACAGCGTCGGGGTTGGAAAAGAGTGGGTTGGGGAACTCTGGCGGATGTGGCAGCGGGGCTATGGTCTTTGGTCGCCTTCTGTAGGCCATTAGCCAGCAGGAGACGGCCACGGCGACAGCCACAAGAGCCAATAGAGCCGTGATAACCAAGGCAATGATTAGTCCCACCATCGAAACGCATATATCCTCCACTCGCTGTGCCGCCGGTTTGACTAGAGGATGGCACGAAAGGTAAAAAGTTAGTGTGTGAAAATGAGAATGAGAGGAATCCCATTGGAATCATCCCTAGGGGGCTACTACTCACTGTTGGCATCATTCAGGCCTGGACCGCTGCGCTTCTCGAATGTGAGAATAGCATTCGATGAGATGGTTATCTCCTCGCGTAGCTGACCCTCAACCCCTGAGTTGGTGGCAATGGCTGTCGTGTCGCTTGAGTTGTCGGCTATAGAGCGGCGACGTCGCCCAAAGGCATTGTAGCCACCACAATTGACGGGCTGGCATCGGCCGAAGCAGACGCGTATGTTGCACTGGAATCGGATGTTGTCGCTCGAGGGGAACTTGAAGGCATTAAAGCTGGCCAGCAGACTGTTGGTGTCCGGGTTATATTCCCAGTTGCCAAAGATGCTGGTGTCCGTGGCACAGCCGTTCTCGTCTGTCACCAGATACTCGTTCTGGACATTGTCCTCCATGGTCTTGGCTATGCAGGAGCGGGCAAAGCCACCATAAATAGCTGTGGGGAGAAACATTAGGCGGATACGGTTAGGATACTGTTCAGATGTGGTTTTGGGGTTCAATTTCTTACTGGCTGGCTCGACATCCACTTGCAGCTTGAGATTGTCGCCGATTTCGGCCGAATTCCAGCTGTGGTCAGCATAGACACGTTGAAGCCTAGGGTTACGTTCTTCTCGCCCGTCTGGTAGACGCACTTGATGTTGTACGCCTGGGCCTTGTAGGTGACTAGCTTGGGATGCTTCTGGATGACCAGGACAAAGCTGGCCACATCCTTCACCGCCTGCATGCCACAGCTGCCGAAGTGCACGCGGAAGATTTCGGTGCGTGGCACCGTCTCGCCGTTCAGATTGACAACACGACGGCAGTCCTCATCCTTGCTGTGGCCCTTTACGTAAAGCACGCCATTGAAGCCGGGCTCTTTGATGTGGATTTCTACTTGAACACCATCGGCCAGGCAGCTGACGACCATGTCGGGTCTGGGGAAGTCGGTGCGGAAGTTGGTGTGGTTACAATGCAGTTCCGGATTGCCCGTGTAGCCCGTAATGCACTGGCACTGGGCACGATGGTTGATGGCATTGCAGAAGGCATTCACTCCACACACCTTGGTCAGGCAGGGATCCTCGCAGGTCTTGGTATCCAGATTGCAGTACCGATTGTCCGCGCACTGGTCGTTGGTGGTACACTCTGGCGGCTCCTCCGGCTGGCACTCTCCTCGGGGCGTCAGGCTGTAGCCCAGCTCAATGGGACAGGTGCAGCGACCACGCTCGTCGATGACCATGCCACGCTCTAGAGCGCATATGCAATGGCCGCTTTCGTCGATGCGGAAGCCTTGCTCCACTTGGCAAGGGGTGCAGTACTCGTAAATGTCCAGAGCGGTGCCCGGTGGGCATACACACTGTCCGTCCACATCGCGCACGAAGCCCTTTTCGATGACGCAGAGCGATCGCTTGTCGCACTGCACAGCCGCATTGCCGGTGTAGCCCTCGAGGCATTCGCAGATCATGGTCCTTACTGGGAGGGTGTCGCGCACGCGGCACTCAGCATTGACGCCGCACGGCTGTGTGGCATTGCAGGGATTCACGCACTCGCCACGCAGACAAGCCTTCTGGCTGGGGCAGTCGCCGTCGCTAATGCAGATGGGGATATGGCGTTCCGTTTCGCATCCATTGCGTCCGGGTACAGTACCGGGCGGGCAGGCGCATTGCGGACGATGCTGATAGACCTTGCAGAGTTCGTCTTGGCCACAGATGGCCGTTGTAGCGCAGGGATCGTTGCACTTGCCGTTCACACACGCTCTGTCCGTGGGACACTCGTCGTCGGTGCGGCAGCCCAGTGGCGTGCATCCAAGACGGGCGTTTCCACCATGACCGGGAGCGCATTCGCACTCGGCCCGATGATTGATGGCCAAACATTGGGCATTGGAGCCGCATTGTTCACCCTGGCAGGCGGGCACGCAGAGTTGGTTGCGGCACGCATGCGTGCCGGGGCAGTCCGCATTGATGTTGCAATCGATCTTGGCGCATTCGAACTCGGGATTGCCCTCGTAGCCCTGGCGACAAGTGCATACAGGCTTGTGGTCCTTGATGCGGCACTCGGCGTTCACGCCGCAGTTGCACGGGTCGCGGCAGATGCCGTTCAGGCAGGACTTGTCGGCGGCACAGTCAGAGTCCGATATGCAGCCACCCACCTTGACGATGCCGGTAGTGGGCTTGCAGCTGCCGCTGCCGCTGCTGATGTATCCATCCGGACAGATGCAGATCATGGTACGTACTGGGGACGTGGGCGTCATCTGGCACTGAGCAGGCCGCTGGCAGGGCTCCAGGACGAGGCAAGGATCCACGCATTGCTCGTTGATGCATGCCTGTCGCGAGGGGCAGTCCGTGTCCAGCACGCAGACGGGCTGCGGCTGGGGACGGCAGTCCACGTAAGGATTGCCAACAAAGTCGGAAGGACAGCGACAGACAGCCAGGTGGTTCTGGGGGCGGCACTCGGCGCGCGGGGCACATGCATTGTGGTAGACGCAGGGATTCACGCACTGCTCGTTCTGGCAAGTCTTGTCCGTGGGGCAGTCGTTGTTGCTGCTGCAGCCGATGATGCGGCAGCGTTCGTACGGATTGCCGCGGTATCCGCTGAGGCAGCGGCACTGGGCGTGGTTTGACTGCACGAAGCACTCGGCATTGGGTCCGCAGGGGTCGTTGATGAGGCAGGGATTGATGCAGTCGCCGTTGATGCAGGCCTTGCCAGAATCGCACTCACCATCCACGCGGCAGCCGATCGAGCGGCAGGCGGCATAGGGATTGCCTTCGAAGCCATCCTGGCAGCTGCAAACCGCACGATGTTGGGTCACCTGGCAGATGGCGTTGGTGCCACAGTTACATGGGTTGCGGCACTGGCGATGGATGCACGCCTCTTGGTCGGGACAATCCTGGTCACTTTCACAGCCCGGTGGACTGGCCAGCACCAGTTGGCGGCACTCGCCACTGGCGTCTGGCACCTGGGACTCGGGACACTCGCAGACCATGGTCCGCACTGGGACACTATCGAGGACACTGCACTGGGCGGTGCGGGCACTTGGCATCGATGCAGGCCAGACCGCTGGGACAGTCACCATCATCGCGGCACACGGGCTCCACGGGTCGGCGTTCGCAGTAGGCATACGGATTGCCCAGAGGCATTTGCTCCGGACAGCGGCAGACGGCTCGATGCTGCAGGGCCTGACAGATGGCATTCTGGCCACACGGATCCACGCACTGGTTGGATACACAGGCCAGGTTCGAGGCACAGTCGTAGTCCGAGTGGCATTCGAGGCGCAGACAGCGCACGAATGGATCTCCCTCCAGGCCAGCGGGACAACGACAGTTGGCACGATGATTGTGTCCGTAGCATTCGGCATTCAATGCACAGGGATCGACCACCAGGCAGGGATTGATGCATTCGCGATTCAAGCACTGCTTGTCACCACTGCACTCGTCATCCGATTGGCAGCCAATGGCCACGCAGCCGAACTGGGCATTGCCCGAGAATCCTGGCTTGCAGTAGCAGATGGGACGATGGTTCTTAACGCTGCATTCGGCATTCGGTCCGCAGTTGCAGGGACTGACGCACTGGGCATTGATGCACGCCTCTGTCACAGGACAATCGCTACTGGACTTGCAGCCGACGGTTATCACATCAGAAGCTGTACGAAGGAAAGTGTTGGAATTACAATCTATTGGAATTGGGACTTTATGAGCTGTGTACGTACGTGGCAGACAGCGATCCTTGGGATTGCCCGAATAGCCAGGCGGGCAGCGGCAGATGGCCTTCCTCTGCTGCACATGGCAGTAGGCACCGATGCCGCAGGCATCCGCAGCACATGGACTCACACACAATTCGTTGCGGCACGTCTTGTCCCTGGGGCAGTCGTCATCTCGCGTACAGCCTGGCTCTGGACTCTTCGGCAGGCCGATCTCTGTGGAATAGCATTCGATGCGAGGATTGCCCTGGTAGCCGGCGGGACAGCTGCACTGTGCATAGTGATCCCGCGATGTACATTGGGCATTGACGCCACACTTTTCGAGGCGGCAGGCGTCCAGGCAGTTTCCATTCGAACAGACCTCAGGATTGGCGCACTCGGAGCTGTGCTGACAGCCACCACTGGGCGGGGCAATGGGTCTCCTGATGGCCACACAGTTGCCCGAGTTATCGGTGACCGTGTCGCTGGGACACTTGCAGATCATGGTGCGAAGTGGCAGGGTATCGAGGACGGCACAGGTCTGTTGGGGACTGCACACATGAGGAGTAGCACAAGGATCTGCACAGCGTTCGTTGATGCAGGCAAGCTTCGAGGGACACTCGGCATCCTGTGTGCACTCCGGAGCCTGTGGGGTTCGCTGTGGCATATCGCACTGGACAAACGGATTGCCCTGGTATCCTGCGCGGCACTCACACTGCGGCTGATGGCGTCGACCCACACAGATGGCGTTCAAAGCACAGGTCTCCTGCTCGCAGACGGGCCGGCAAACGCGGTTTAGGCGGTCGCAGGCTTTGTGATCGGCGCAATCCTCGTTGTATTGACAATGGCCGGTTATGCAGGCCACGAAGGGACTGCCCTGAGTGCCGGCCGGACAGCTGCAGACAGCCTGGTGATTCTGTGGCAAACATTGGGCTCCACTGCCGCAACGCACTTGTCCATGGGTGCAGGGATTCACGCAGTTCTCGTTCAAACAAGCCTTGTCGTAGGGACAATCGGCATTGATTTTGCATTCAGCTGTGAAATAAAGAGTTTGTTTAGGTATCTTAGGACTTGTCAAGAGTCTCTCCACTTACGTTTGTAACATTGGACTTGCGGATCACCGCCCCAGCCAGCGGGACAGTAGCATGTGGGACGAGAGTTCTGCACACGACATTCGGCATTGCCGGCACAAGGATTGGCCTCGGCACATGGGTCCTGGCAACGCTTATTGATGCACGCCGTGGTTGGCGAGCACTCAGAGTCGTGTGTGCATCCAGCTGTGATTTGAGCTGCATAGGACCATATCATAAATAAAACGCAATCGATATAGAGGCTTCAATGGGTCTTACGTGGCTGGTAGCAATTGGTGAACGGATCTCCTTGGGTGCCTTGAGGGCAGCTGCAAATGGCGCGATGCTGCTGGGCCAGACACTGGGCTGTTCGGGCGCAAGGGAAGCCATCCAGGCAGGGATTGACACAGTTGCCAGCGCGACAGGCTTCCGTATCCTGGCACTGATCGTGCGATGTGCAGCCCAGGTCTTGAGCGGGTTCTAGTGCAGAGGAAAATGCAAAAGATTAGCAGGGTTTTGGTAGTACAATTAGACATGTTATTGGCATGTGCAAGAGTTAAGAGTTATAGAGTGCTTGCTAATATATGTATAACTGCAAAGGTCGTGCATATATGCTCGAAAGATCGGGTATTAAAGAATCAGAGATATATATATTATATTTTTCAGCACTTTACACACAACTAAAACTCTGCTGCAATGAGAGAGAAGCAAACTCAAAAGTAAAGCAAAAAGCAGAATTAATCAATGATCGATCCTGGACTTGGACCGATGCCTCACCTTTGCGACATCCAATGTCGGCATCACCCACATAGCCAGGCTCACAGCGGCACGTCATGGTGCGCAGGGGCAGTGTGTCGACCACGTCGCAGATGGCATTGGCGCCACACGGATGGGTCACAGCGCATGGGTTCTTGCATTCGCCTGAGAAGCAGGCCAGCTTGCTGGGACACTCGGCATCCATGGTGCAGCCCTCGGGTTGCACGGGCACCAGGTCACAGCGTATGGCGGGATTTCCACTGAAGCCGGCCGGGAAGCGGCACTGGGCGCGATGGTTGTCCACACGACACTGGGCACCGATGCCGCAGTTGCACGGATCCTCGCATCTCTCGTTGCGGCAGGCCAAATGGAACGAGCACTCGTCGTCGCTTCGGCACTCCGGTCGCTCGCAGCGCACCAGAGGATTGCCGCGGTATCCATCCGGACAGTGGCAGCGCGCGCGGTGGTTGAAGTCGGCGCGACAGGTGGCTCCTGCGCCGCACTGGGTGAAGCTGCAGGGATCCACACACTTTTCGTTGATGCAGGCCTCGGTAGGGGCGCATTCGGTGTCGGAGCGACAGCCGAGTAGGTAGCAATGCTGCAGGGCATTGCCCGAGTATCCCTCGTTGCAGACGCACAGCGGACGATGGAGCTGGACATGGCAGCGGGCCTGTTGGGCGCAGAGATTGGTCTGCTCGCAGGGATTTCTGCACACCTGGTTGATGCAGGCCTTGTCATTGGTGCATTCTGCATCGCTGACGCACTCCGGCTTCGGGGGCTCCAGCTGTGGGATCTGCCGCAGACACTGGGCGTATGACGAGCCATAGAAGTCGGGTGGACAGCTGCAGACAGCTTTGTGGTTGATGGCACGACAGATGGCATTGAGGCCGCAGGCCTGCAGACACGGGTCGCGGCACTTCTGGCTAACGCAGGCGCGATCGCGGGAGCAGTCCTCGTTGATCACACACTCAGGATAGCTGCAGGTGGCAGCGCCATTGTGGACACGACAGATGCCGTTGCTGCGACAGGGCGATGGGTTGCAGGGATCCACTGGCTCTGCTTGGCGCGGTGTCTCGCACTGGACGAACGGATTACCCACCATGTTGGCGGGGCAACTGCAGACGGGGCTGTGGTTGATGGTCTGACATACGGCTCCGTAGCCGCATTCGCCCACGCAATCATCCACGCACTTGGCATTGATGCAGGCCTTATCCTTGGCGCAGTCCGAGCTCAGAGTGCACTCCGGGCGACAGCCCTGGGCCAGAGGATTCCCAAAGAATCCTGGCAAACACTCACACACGGCCTTCTCGCTCTGCACTCGGCACACGGAGTTGGGTCCACACGGCGAGGGATAGCAGGGATCGGAGACAGGTGGTGGGGCCAGCAGGCGCGTGCACTGCACAAAGGCATTGCCCGTGTATCCTGCCGGACAGGAGCAGATCGGTATGTGGTTGTTCATGTTGCACATCGCCTCCAGGCCGCACACTCCCGGGCAGGGATCCACGCATTTGCTGCGCGCACAGGCCCTGTTCGCAGGACACTCGGAGTTGCCCACGCACTCGGGGCGACAGCCCACGTAGGGATTCCCTATATACTCCTGCTGGCTGCATTCGCACACATAGCTCTGGCCGGTCACACGGCAGTCGGCATTGGTGCCGCAGGGCGATGGATAGCAGGGGTTCTTCGGTGTGGCTGGTGGCTCCTGCAATGGTGGTTCTGCAAAGGGTAAAGATTACGGAAAAATTTGGTTAAATGGAATCCTACAGGTGGAGGTCGGTCCCTGCCTGAATACAATATGCAAACTTGTTTCGGGGTCGGGGAATGGGAATGGGCATGGGCGGTGGGGAAGGAGAGAGTCTTATTCTTACTTTGGCACAGGCGGAAAGGATCCCCGGTCATGCCGCTAGGGCACTGACAGTTGGGCGTGTGCAGCCGGACCACGCATAGGGCGTTCTGGCCACAGCTGCCGGGACAGGGATCGGTGCAGCGCTGATTGATGCAGGCCAGGCTATTGGAGCACTCGTCGTTGCTGACACACTCGGGTCGGCAGTTGGGAGGTGTGCCCTGGAACTCTGGCAAGCAGCGGCACTGCGCCTGACCCTTCTCATTGCTGCACTGGGAGTTGGGGCCGCAGGGCGATGGGTAGCAGGGATCGCGCACAGCATTGGATTCGGGTCTTCGCACAATCACTAGATGACACTGGGAGTAGGCATTGCCGGTGTAACCGGGGCTGCACTCGCAGTGCGCTCTGTGCTGCACCGCCTGGCAGATGGCATTGAGACCGCATTGTCCTGGACAGGGATCCACACATTTCTGGTTGATGCACGCGTGCACCTGGGAGCAGTCGGAGCTGGCGTAGCACTCCGGACGGCAGTTGGGAGGCTGACCGAAGTAGCCCGCCAGGCAGGAGCAGATGGCCACGTCGTTTCTCTCCAGGCATTGGGCGTTGTCTCCGCATGGTGATGGATGGCAGGGATTGGGCGGACGCGCGGGGGGCTCATCGCGCAGCGGGGAGCAGGACACAAACGCGTTGCCCGTCATTCGCTCAGGACAGTGGCACATCGCAATATGGTTGACGGCATTGCAGAGGGCATTCGGTGCACAGTTTCCTGGGCAGGGATCGACGCACTTTTGTCGCACGCAGGCCCTGTTCCTCGGACAGTCCGAGTTCAGGACGCACTCGGGCCGGCAGCCAGTGTACGGATCGCCCTGATATTCGGGCAGACACGAGCACTGACCATCGCGGCACTGGGCATTGGCGCCGCAGGGTGACGGCTGGCACGGATCGGAGATCGGAGCTGTAAAAGAGGTTTGGCCGGGATTAGAAGAGACCACATAGGGGGCTGTAAAATGGAGGGCTGGCATACTCGTCGGGGGCGGCGTTGGTGGCACGATCCGACAGCTGGTGAATGGATCTCCGGTATAGCCACTGGGACACGAGCAGCTCGGCGTGTGATTGATCACGTTGCAGAGGGCGGCAAAGCCGCAGGCACCCGGACAGGGGTCGCGACACTTCTCGTTGATGCACGCCTGGCTGCTGGGACACTCCGCATTGATGGTGCACTCGGGCCGGCAGTTGGGAGCAGCGCCCACATAATTGGGCAGGCAGCTGCAGCTGGCTCCTCCGTTCACCTCCCGACACTGGGAGTAAGGTCCACAGGGCGAGGGATAACAGGGATCACGAGGAGGGTCCTCCGACTTTGGTGGCTTTGGTGGTGGGGGATTGGGCAGACAGCGGGTCAAGGCATCGCCCGTGAACCCGGGCAGACACGAGCAGAGCGGACTGTGATTCCTCACATGACACTGGGCGTTCAGACCACAGGAGCCGGGACAGGGATCCTGGCACTTCTGATTGATGCACGCCTTGTCCGCAGGACACTCGGCACTGATCACACACTCGGGACGGCAGGCGGGCGGCGTGCCTACAAACTCGGGCAGACAGGAGCATATGGCCTGGCCCTGGGACTCGCGACACTGGGCATTGGCACCGCATGGCGATGGCTGGCAGGGATTCACGTATTCCGGAGGCGTGGCTATATAGGAGGTTGAGAATATTGGAGTATTTAGAATTCGTACAAATCACATGACCATGGCGAAGCGTTTAGCGATTAAAAAGGCAACCAAAAGCGTATATAGTTTCGTAAAAAGCTAGCATATTGTCACAGAGCATTTTAGACGCGAAATTCGAAAGCGTTCAGGGCGGCAACGGTGGGCAAGGAGCAAAAATAAACAGCACCATGCCCACGACGTTTAATAGACTTTATCAGATGTACCCTATGGTAGGCTAGGTGTCGGGCACTGCGTTGTTTGGAAGTCACATTATGGCAAAGAGCTAGCATTTTCGATGAGAGATTCGATGGATTTAGGGGTTTACCGATGATAAAGAGATGACCGAATAAAGAGAAGGCGTAAGACTGAGAATTGAGTACTGCATTTTGGAGGAATTGAGCACAGCGTTGTTTTTCAAAGAGAGCGGAAGTGGCATCAATATCGGGGCTATATGGAGGTAGCTTATTCGAAGAGAGACTGGATGGGTTTAGGGGTTTAACGATGATGCTTAAGGATACCTTACCTACCTAAGGTTAGCCCTCTCTATATGCCGTCAAGGAGATGACGTCAAGGAGATGACGGCATATAGCCCTTCTTAGCCCTCTCTATATGCCGTCAAGGAGATGACGTCAAGGAGATGACGGCATATAGAGAGGGCTAAGAAGGCATAAGACTGAGAATTTAGAGCTGAATTTTGAAGGAATTGAGCACTGCGTTGTTTTTTAGAGAGAGTGGAAGTGGCATCAATATCGGGTTTATATGGAGGTAGCTTATACGATAAGAGACTCGATGGATTTAGGGGTTTAACGATGATGCTTAAGGTTACAAGGAGATGACGGCATATAGAGAGGGCTGAGAAGGCATAATCTCAGTCTTATTGTTGTATTATTGAGTACTGCATTGTTTTTTAGAGCAAGAGGAAAGAGACGCATTAGGATTAGGGCGATTCTTAGAGTTCGTTTCTTACGTTCATGTTGCACCCTACGACATGCGAGGTAGGGATTTCCAATAAAACCCTCGTGGCACTCGCAGACGGGGCTGTGATTAATGGCCAGACAATGGGCATTGGGGCCGCAGGCACCGGGACAGGGATCGCGACACTTCCCGCCGAGGCACGCTCTGTCACTTCTGCAATCCGAATTGACCGTACACTCGGGGCGACAGATCTCATACGGATTGCCGTAATAATCGGGCAGGCACTGGCATACGCTCATATCATGGTTGGGTCGACAAATGGCATTGATGCCGCAAGGACTGGGTTGGCAAGGTACAGGCACAGGTACAACCACATCCCTCACGGGCGCAGGACGAGCACAAATGCTATACGCATTGCCCACGTAGCCCTCGGGGCAATAGCAGATGGGGCTGTGGGACACCACACGACAAAGAGCCAGTTGGCCACAGGTGCCAGGGCACGGATCGATGCACTTATGGTTTCTGCATGCCTTGTCGGCTGGACAGTCGGCGCTGCTTACGCACTCGGGCCGACAGTGGGGTGGGGTTCCCCTGGGGTATTGGGGCAGGCATGAGCAGCGGGCAGAGCCGCCTACCGTGGCCTGACACTCGGAGTGGGGGCCACAAGGTGAGGGCAGACATGGGTTAACTTCGTCGCGAGGAGGTGGTGGCAAAACTGAAAGAGTAAGACGTGAGATCAGGATGGGGTTTGGGTTTGGGTTTAAGTTTGGGTTTAGAGGGTTCTCCGGCATACCTATGGGCTGACACGATAGCAAGGGGTTGCCCGTGAGATGGGGCAGACACAGACAGCGGGGACTGTGGCTCTGCACGTGGCATATGGCCCGTATGCCGCATGCCCCCGGGCAGGGATCGCGACACTTGAGATTCAGGCAATACTTGTCCAGAGCACAATCGGAGTTCGAGGTGCATTCGGGACGACAGGCGGGTGGTGTGCCAATGTATCCCGGGAGGCAGTAGCAAATCGCCTGCTCATGATAGGCCCGACAGTTGGCATTGGGTCCACATGGCGAAGGTCGGCACGGATTGATGGGCGTACGCTGTGGTATCACCGCGGGCAATGTGGTTGGAGGCGGCTCTGTTGTGGCTGGGATGGGATCGCAGCGCACAAAGGCATCGCCTTGCATTCTATCCGGGCAGGAGCAGGTCGCCAAATGGTTGTAGACATGGCAGAGTGCGTTCAGTCCGCATGTTCCTGGACAGGGGTCCTGGCACTTTTGATTGATGCATGCCTTGTCCCGGGCACACTCTGTGTTCAGGACGCACTCTGGACGACAGCCAAAGTAGGGATCGCCTCGGTATTCCGGCAGGCAACGGCATTTCTCATCATGACACACCGCATTGGGTCCGCATATCGAAGGATAACAGGGATCCTTTTGGACTATGGGTTCATGCTGTATCGGTGTTGGTTGGCAGGAAACGAAAGAATCTCCTGTGTATCCAGAGCGACAGAAGCAATGGGGCACATGTTCATGCACTCGACACACTGCCTCATAGCCGCATGATCCCGGGCAGGGATCGCGACACTTTTCATTTATGCACGCCAGCGCCGAGGGACAGTCAGATTGGACGACACACTCCGGCCGACAGTTGGGCGGAGTTCCTCTGTAGTTGGGCAGACAGACGCACGCGGCCGCTCCAAAGCGATTGTGGCACTGCGAGTACGGTCCGCAGGGCGATGGGTAGCAGGGATTGAACTCGAAAACGGGCCTTGCCACACCATAGTTGGGTCGACGAGTGGGTCCTGGTTGTGCTACGGATGGTATGTTGATAATTCCAGGTGTAGGTTGTGGGTAGGGTTGTGGCTGTGGCCTCTGAGTCTCGTTGTTGACATCGAACATAGGTTGTTGGGGTGCCGCAGGAGAAGGTTGTGGCACCGAAGGGATATTTACCACTCCGGGAGTAGGTACATAAATCGGTGGTGATGGTTGTGATGGTATATTGATCACTCCAGGCACAGGTTTTGGTACGGGAGTTGGGTAACTGACGTCCTGGATAGGCGGATTCTGTGACGGATACGTGGGCTGTGGCATCGAAGGAATGTTTACTACACCCGGTTGTGGTTGTGGGTGTGGAGTTGGCCTTGGTGGAGCCGGAACATATATTGGTTGCTGGGGCACCGGGTATACTGGCCGGGGAGGCGAGGGTATATTGATGACACCTGGTATCGACGGCGGCGGTGGATAGTACACGTCGTATATGGCAGGGCTCTGCACAATCGGCGGCTGAGGGGAGGGATACACTTGTTGCGGCGGCACAGAAGGAACATTGATCACTCCCGGCTGTGGTGCAGGTTTCACAGGGCTCACAGGTGACGGTGTAAATATTGGACGTTGCGATACAGGTGCCACAGGCTGCGGCAGAGATGGGATATTCACTATCACTGGCCTCTGGGGCACTGGGGAGTGTGGCGTGGGGTAGTTCACATCGTAAACTGGCGGCTGGGGTGTGGGATACACTGGTTGCACCACGGATGGTATATTTACAACACCAACAGGTCTTTCAGGGATCGGTGTCTGAGGCGTTGGATAATGGACGCCATGAATGGGAGGCCGGGGCTGCGGTACAGAGGGAATATTAATTATTCCTGGCTGTGGTGCAGGTGGCACAGAGTTCAAGGGTGTTGACAAATAAACTGGCGGTTGATGCGACGGCGGTATCGGTTGCGGTACAGAAGGAATATTAAACACTCCCGGCTGTGGTGCTGGTGTCGGTTGCGGTACAGAAGGAATATTAATCACTCCCGGCTGTGGTGCAGGTGTCGGTTGCGGTACAGAAGGAATATTAACCACTCCCGGCTGTGGTGCAGGTGTCGGTTGCGGTTGCGGTACGGAAGGTATATTCACAATTACACAATTACATCGTAGATCGGTGGCTGGGGTGATGGGTAGACAGGTTGGGGCACCGAAGGTATATTAACGACTCCTGGCTGCGGCGAAGGGTGTGGCACTGAAGGAATATTGACAACTCCAGGTTGCTGGTGACTCGGTGTCTGGGGCGTGGGATAGTTCACATCGTAAACGGGCGGCTGGGGTGACGGATACACTGGCTGTGGCACGGAGGGAATGTTCACTATTCCAGGCTGTGGTGCAGGTGTGGCGTTCGCCGGCGTTGGTATAAATACTGGTCGTTTCGGAACTACAGGCACGGGCTGTGGCACAGAAGGAATATTTACTATTCCTCCTGGCTGTTGTGGAACCGAAGATGGATAGTTGACAACTCCAGGCTGCTGTTGAATCGGTGTTTCGGGTGACGGAACATTGGAAATCGTCGGTTGTGGCGAAGGATACGTGGGGATGTTTACAACTCCTGGTTGTTGTGGAATTGATTGTGGAGGGTATTGTGGTCTTGGGTACTGGACATCATGGATGGGTGGCTGGTTGGGGATATTGACAATTCCCGGCTGCGGTTGTTGAATGTACACCAATCCGGGAATTGCAACTGGGTAGGGTGGTGATGGGGTGTCGTATATCTGTTGGGGTCTTTCGGCTGTCGCGACTGTCGGGAAATGAGTGACCAAGGGATTGGGGTTGTTAGGCTTTGAACCGTTTATACTATCGGCGATTGTATTCTTACGTCTGGTGGGGATCTCGTAGCAACGGGTGAGCGGATCACCGGTGTGCGAGGCGATGCAGTAGCAGATGGGACTGTGATAATGCACCCGGCACACGGCATTCAAGCCGCAGATTCCTGGACAGGGATCGACGCACTTGAGATGGATACACGCCCTGTCAAGGGCACACTCTGAGTTCAAAGTACACTCGGGACGACACTGGGGCGGGGTTCCGTAGAAATCGGGCAGACAGGAGCAAACGCCTTGGTCATTCGATGGCTGACACCTGGCATTGGGTCCACAGGGCGAGGGATCACATGGAGTTAAGGGTGCTGGGGCGGACGAAAGGATTAGACTGGGAGTCGATGGGGGATTGCATGTTGGATGCTTACATTCCTGGACAACGGGCAGCGGGGCGCAGTAGACCAGAGGATTACCCGTGTAGCCGCTGAAGCACTGGCAATGGGGCAAATGATCCAGGACGTGGCACTCGGCGTTGAGGCCGCAGGTGCCGGGACACGGGTCGCGACACTTTTGCTGCACGCACGCCCTGTGCGACGCACAGTCGGAATTGAGAATACACTCTGGACGGCAGGCATCGTAGGGATTGCCGTAGTAATCCGGCAAACAGACGCACGAGGCAATGCCTCTCTGCTGACTGCATCGAGCATTGGCCCCGCAGGGATTCGGTTCGCACGGATTGCGGATGGGCTGATCGTGTTGCAGTACTTCTATGGCCGTTGTGGGGGGTATCGCGGGGGATTCGTAGGAGGGCCGACGTGCTGGCGGCAGACACGAGTTGAATGGATTACCCACCAGCCCGGGGGCACAAACACAGTTGGGCTGGTGATTGTACGTCCGGCAGATCGCATTGTAGCCGCAGAGACCGGGACAGGGATCCTGGCACTTCCAATTGATGCACGCCCTGTCGCCGGGACACTCGCTGTTGGCAATGCACTCGGGTCGGCAGTAGGGTGGCACGCCCAGATACTCGGGCAGGCAGCGGCAGATGGCATTGAGGCCATCCTCATTGCTGCACTGTGAGTGGGGGCCGCAGGGAGTTGGCTGGCAGGGATCGATGGGTTCCCGTTGGACAGGAGCTAAACCGATAACCTGGCATTGGGAGTACGGACTGCCCGTGTACCCTGCCGGGCAAACGCACTGCGGACTGTGGTTGATCACATGGCATTCGGCCAGATAGCCACAGGCGCCAGGACAAGGATCGCGACACTTTTGGTTAACGCACGAGAGGCTCGGGTAACACTCGGAGTCGCTGACGCACTCTGGCCGACAGTCGGGCGGACTGCCGTAATAGCCAGGCAGGCAGGTGCATTCCGCGCGATAACCAATCTCTCGACACTGTCCATGGGCGCCACAGGGCGATGGCTGGCAGGGATGCAGCTGAATGGGTGAATCCTGCTGCTGCTTTGGCTGGCAAAGCACGAAAGGATTTCCCTGCTGGCCGTCCGGACAGTGACACAGGGCCACATGATTCTGGACTCTGCAGTGGGCTCCGGAGCCACAAGTTCCCGGGCACGGATCCACGCAGCGATTGCGTATGCATGCCTTATCCGAGGGACACTCTGTGCTCAGCACGCACTCGGGACGACAGCCCGCATAGGGATCGCCCTGGTAGAGTGGCAGACAACTGCAGACGCCGTTCGAGCACTGGGCACTGGGACCACAGGGGGAAGGATGACAGGGATCATCTTCAACAACAATAGGAGTCACTGGAGGCGGAGACGGAGCTGGCGCTGGATAGCAGCGGTAGAAGGGATCTCCAAGGTATCCTTGCGGACAAGAGCAGGTGGGGACATGATTGAGGACCGAGCACTGGGCGTACAGACCGCAGGCACCGGGGCAAGGATCGCGGCACTTCTGGTTGATGCACGCCCGATGGCCGGGACAGTCGGAGTTGAGGGTGCACTCGGGTCGACAGTGGGGAGGAGTGCCGTAGTAGGAGTCCAGACAGGTGCAGACACCTTGTCCGTACTCCTCGCGACACTGGGCATACTGTCCGCAGGGGGAGGGCACGCAGGGATCTACAGGAGACGACTGTCGAATGGGTTGATGGGGAGGTCGAGCAGGTAATGGCAGGCATCGGGTGAAGGCATCGCCGGTGTAGCCGGGCGGACAGGAGCACAGGGCTCGGTGTTGATGCGCCTGACAAATGGCATTCTGCCCGCAAGCGCCTGGACACGGATCGGAGCAATGTCTGGCCACACAGGCCCTATCGTGGGGACACTCGGGATTGGTGGTGCATTCGGGTCGACAGGCAGGCGGCGAGCCATAATAATCGGGCAGACAGCGACAGACAGCCTGTCCCTGGGCTACGCTACACTCAGAGTTGGGACCACAGGGCGGGGGCTGGCAGGGATTAACCGGTTCGATTGCTGGAGGGGTGCAGAAGGGTGCAAACGTGTTGGTCGATTGTGGGTTAGTGCAAAGGGTGGGTTGCTTACGTTCCGCCTGGATAGGCACCGCATGGCAATGGCGATAGGCATCCCCTCTGTAGCCGGGATAGCAACTACAGATGGGGATGTGATTGACGACCTGGCATTGGGCATTCGGTGCACAGCTACCAGGACAGGGGTCGCGACAATGTTGGTTCAAGCAGGCCAAATGGCCGGAGCAGTCCGAATTGACGACACACTCGGGTCGGCAGCCCTCGTAGGGATTGCCGTAGGTCTCGGGCAGGCACTGGCATGCCGCAGCTCCTCCTTGCTGTCTGCACATGGCATTGCTACCGCATGGGTTCTGCGCGCACGGATTGATCTGGTCTCGTTCTATTGCTGGTCTTGGACGGCAGCCCGTGTAGGGGTCTCCGATGTAGTCTCCAATGCACAGGCACGAGGGCACATGGCTCACGACCTGGCAGCTGGCTGCCTGTCCGCACAAACCAGGACACGGATCGCGGCACTTCTGCCGGATGCATGCCAATTGGTTTGGGCACTCGGAGGATGTTATGCACTCTGGTCGACAGTTGGGTGGCGGTCCTATGTAGCCTTCAAGGCACTTGCAGATGGCTTGATCGCCTTGTTCCGTGCACTGGGCATTCGATCCACATGGGGATGGATGACAGGGATACACAGGGAGGGGCTCTCGCTGCACAACCGCTGGTGGTATCTGCTGACACAGGGAGAAGGCATTTCCCGCGTATCCTGCGGGACAACTGCAGTGCGGGACATGTCGGATGACCTGGCAGTTGGCAAATTGTCCGCAGGCCCCGGGGCAGGGATCGCGACACTGCTGATTGAGGCACGCCAAGTGGGGGGCACAGTCCGAGTTGATGGTGCATTCCGGTCGACATCTGGGCGGGACACCGAAGTATCCACTCAAGCAGGAGCACACGGCCTGCTGGTTGGCCTCGCGACACTGGGCATTAGATCCACAGGGCGATGGCTGGCAGGGATTAGGGGGCTCCACGGGAGAAGCTAAACAACAGACGGGGGAGGATGAATTAGGTGGAGGGGTTTCTTCAACAAAGGATTTCCAATGGAACCTACATTGAACAAGGATGGTCGTACACTGGATGAAGGCATTTCCGGAAGTCCCGGGTGGACAGAGGCAAATGGGTATGTGGTTGCGCACCTCACAAACGGCGCCCACACCACAGGCCCCCGGACAGGGATCCACGCATTTGCTGCGCTGACAGGCCCTGTCCCGGGCACACTCTGAATTCAGGACACACTCCGGGCGACAGCCCACATACGCATTGCCATCGAACTCTGCGAGACAGTTGCACTGTCCTCCGGCACTGCAAACGGCATTGGGGCCGCATGGCGAGGGATTGCAGGCATCCCGTAGTACTGGAACCGGAGCTGGAGGAGGTTGGGGTCTGCAGCTGACAAAGGGATTGCCCTGATAGCCAGGGGGGCAGCTACAGATGGGCGTGTGATTGATGACGTTGCACTGGGCCAGCAGGCCACAGGAGCCGGGACAGGGATCGCGGCACTTCTCGCTGATGCAGGCCAAGTGCGAGGCGCAGTCTGGATTGATCACACACTCCGGCTTGCACTGAGGCGGGACACCAAAGTATCCTGGCAGGCAGGAGCACACGGCCTGGGTGCCCTGTGCTCTGCACTGGCCGAAGGTGCCGCAGGGCGAGGGTGCACACGGGTCGCGGTAGATATCCTTGGGCGGAGCATCATAGCTAATGACGGGTCCTGCAAATGGTTTGTTTGGTTTGTTTGTGTTAGGAAAGTCCAAAGGGTGGATCATTGGAGTCTTACGGATCGGCTGGCAGCCACTGAAGGCATCTCCAGTGTAGCCGGGCAGACAACTGCAAAGCGGACTGTGGTTGAGGACACGGCATTGGGCATTGCTGCCGCAGATCCCCGGACAGGGATCGACGCAGTGGTGTTGCACGCATGGCCTGGTCAAGTCGCACTCGCTGGAGATGGTACACTCGGGCCTACAAGCAGGCGGGGATCCAACAAAGTCTGGCAGGCATTTGCATATAGCTTGACCATTCGCCTCGCGACAGTGGGCATTGGGTCCGCAAGGCGAGGGCTGGCAGGGACGGGAGGCAATGGGTTCGGGCAGGGCTGCAGGGAGGACGAAAATGTGGGGTGAGTCTGCCAAGGGAACGTCAAGGAGTGTCTTACGATTACGCAGGAGGCTGCAATAGGTGTATGGATTGCCCTGGTAGCCCGCCAGGCACTGGCATTGTGGCAGATGATGGCGCACTTGGCACAGGGCATTGGAGCCGCAGGTGCCTGGACAGGGATCGCGACAGTGTTGATTGACACACGCCAAATGGCTGGGACAGTCCGTGTTGAGGACACACTCTGGACGACAGCCCTCGTAGGGATTGCCAATGGTGTCGGGCAGGCACTGGCATGCCCCTGCTCCATTACGTTCGCTGCAAACGGCATTGGCGCCACAAGGACTGGGCACGCACGGATTGAGTGGTGTCTCTGGGACATCGCGCACCACTTGACAGCCAAAGAAGGGATGGCCATTGTATCCAGCGAGGCACGTACACATGGGCGTATGATTGATCACATAGCACTCCGCATTCAGGCCACAGACTCCGGGGCAGGGATCGCGGCACTTTTCGTTGCGGCAGGCCAGATTCGTGGGACAATCGGAGTTGGATACGCATTCCGGCCGGCAGTCGGGTGGTGTGCCCACAAATCCAGCGAGGCAGCTGCATTGGGCGTTGATTCCTTGGACGCGACACTCTGCATTGGCGCCACACGGCGAGGGTTGACAGGAATCCAGCGGAACAGGGTCCTGCCTGGCAGGTGCAGGCGGAGGTTGACGGTGGCATGCCACAAATGGATTTCCAGTAAACGATTGGATGCAGTGGCAGTTGGGACTGTGATTGATCACGCGACACTCGGCATTGAGGCCGCAGGATCCCGGACAGGGATCGCCACACTGTTGCTGCAGACACGCCAAGTGAAGCGGACATTCCGCATTGCTTACGCATTCCGGACGGCAGGATGGTGGCGTGCCCACAAATTGTGGCAGACACGAGCACACGGCCTGGCCATTGATGTGACGACATTGGGCATTTGGTCCGCAAGGCGAGGGCTGACAGGGATCGGCTATGATGGGGGGATCCTGAGCTGGCGGCGGCAGTGGTCGGCACTGAGAGAAGGCATTGCCAGTCATTCCCGGGGGACAATGGCACATGGCCACGTGTCGGTGGACCTCACAGATGGCACTGGATCCACAAGTGCCGGGACAGGGATCGATGCACTTGTTCCGCACGCACGCCTTGTCCCAGTCGCATTCCGCACTCAGGACGCACTCGGGTCGACAGCCAATCAATGGATTTCCGATGAACTCTGGCAGACAGCTGCATCTTCCTTGCTGGCAGACGGCATTGGCACCGCACGTAATCGAGGCGCAGGGATCGCTGGTATCCTGTTGTGGTGGTGGATCGCGTGGCCGAGCATGGCAGGATGTGAATGGGTTGCCGATCAGTCCTGGAGCACACTGACACGTGGGACTGTGGTTGATCACCGTGCAGAAGGCGTTGAAGCCACAGGCTCCTGGACAGGGATCGCGACAGTGCTGCTGTTGACACGCCAGATGCGAGGGACAATCCTCGGCGATGGTGCATTCGGGTCGGCAGTTGGGTGGAGTGCCGTAGTACGCGGGGAGGCAGGTACAGGTGGCAGAGCCTTGGTTGTCTCTACACTCCGCATACTGGCCGCAGGGCGATGGTAAGCAGGGATCGCGATACACATCCAAGAGCGGGGGAAGGGGTGCTAAAAAGGGGTAGGATAGATTTACAGATTCTTCTTCTGCTTGGGTGTAGACTCTTCTCTTACGTGGCAGGGGCAGGCATCGGGAGAAAGCATCGCCAGTGAACCCTGGACGACAACTACAGATGGGGGCATACTGGAAGACGCGACATTCGGCATTGGAGCCGCACACTCTAGGACAGGGATCGCCACACTTTTGATTGAGGCATGCCTTGTCACGGGAACACTCCCCATTCGAGACGCACTCGGGCCGACAGTTAGGCGGAGCCCCCACATATTCCGGTAGACACGAGCAGATGGCCTGCTCGTTGTTCTCACGACACTGGGAGTTGGGGCCACAGGGCGAGGGCTGGCATGGATTTACGTACTCCTTGAGAATAGCTAAGGACGGTTTGCGTAGGGTTAGGGCTAATCTTGGGACACAGACAGATCTTCAACTCACGTTTCTCTGGCAGACGACAGTAGCTGTAGGGATCCCCTAGGAATCCGCTGAGACAATGACAGGTGGGAAGGTGATTGATCACGCGACAGGCAGCATTCAGGGCACAAACCCCGGGACACGGATCGCGGCACTTCAGCTGGTGGCAGGACTTATCCGACGGACAGTCGCTGTCGGCCACACACTCGGGACGACAGGCCTCGTAGGGATTGCCATAGTATTCGGGTAGGCACTGGCAGGAGCCGGCATTGCCCTCGCGGCGACACACAGCATTGGCCCCACAGGGATTCGGGGAGCAAGGCTGGACATATTCGATTTGTTGAACGATCGGAGGCTGGTGGCAGGCGGTGAATGGATCCCCCGTGAAGCCGGGCAGGCAATGGCACATGGTGGCGTGGCTTATCGCATGGCACTGGGCATTGGAGCCACAAACGCCCGGACAGGGATCGCGGCAGTGCTGACTGATGCAGGCCCTGTCAAAGGGACACTCCGAATTGGTCACACACTCTGGCCGGCAGTTGGGCGGCGTTCCAATGTAGCTGGGAAGACAGCTACACTGTGCCTGATCTCCCAGAGCAAGGCACTGGGCATAGGGTCCGCAAGGAGAGGGCTGACAGGGGTTCCTGGGGGGTTCCTCATCGCGACGCACTGGTTCCGGGAAGCAGCCCGCGAAGGGGTTGCCATTGTGTTGCGGCGGACAGCTGCAGATTGGAGCATGATTGACCACATGACAGAGGGCGTTGAAGCCACAGGTTCCGGGACAGGGATCGATGCAGTGCTGCCGCTGGCAGGCCAGTCGCGGCAGACAATCCGAATTGTGGGTGCACTCGGGCCGACAATTGGGTGGCGTACCCACATAGTCCTCAATGCAGGAGCAGACGGCATTGTTGTTGAGTACGCGGCAACGGCTGTTGGGGCCGCACGGTGACGGTGCGCAAGGATCGGGTGGAGTCAATGCCACAGGTGGGAACTCGCACTGGATGAAGGCATTGCCTGTCATCTGCTCTGGACAGCGGCACATGGCGATGTGATTGATCGTATCGCATATGGCATTGGGGGCACAGGTGCCCGGACAGGGATCCACACACTTGTGGCGCACACAGGCCCGATCCTTCGAACAGTCGGCATTCAGGACACACTCTGGGCGGCAGCCCCTGTAGGGATCCCCCTGGTAGTCCCCAATACACGAACACTGACCGTTCGAGCACTGAGCATTGGGTCCGCAGGGCGAGGGATGGCAGGGATCATCAAGGGCAATGGGTGTGGCTATGGGTGGAGTATAGGTAGGGGTTGAGAGATGTTTACAGCAGGATGCTTTTCCATTCGATTCTTACGTGGTGGCTGGGGTTCTGGGTAACAATTGGTGGGGGGGACACTGACAGCTCGGCACATGGTTACGCGTGGTGCAGAGGGCGTTGTAGGCACAGGAGCCGGGGCATGGATCCACACACCTCTGGTTGATGCACGCCCGGCTGGACAGGCACTCGGAACTCTGGGTACACTCGGGTCGGCAGTTCGGCGGCAGACCAAAGTAGTTGGAGAGACAGCTACAGATGGCCTGACCCTGGGACTGCCTGCACTGGGAATTGGCACCGCAAGGGGACGGCTGGCAGGGATCGCTTACAATGTCGTAGAGTATATGCGTTGTGGGAGCTGATCGAATGGGAAGGATGTTAAGAGGACATACACTCTCTGGGGAGGGGAGAAACGACTTACGAGGCAATGGATAGCAACGGGTGAATGGGTCTCCCGTGTAGCCTGGCTGACAGGAACAGAGTGGGGCATGGTTCATTCCAAGACAATTGGCATTGCTGCCACAGGCACCTGGACAGGGATCCACACACTTGTGGCGCACACAGGCCCTGTCCAGACTACACTCGGAGGAGACCGTACACTCGGGACGACAGCCAGGCGGACTGCCCACGTACTCGGGCAGACAGGAGCAAGTGGCCAGGCCATTCAGTTCACGGCACTGGGAGTTGGGGCCACAGGGAGAGGGCTGGCAGGGATTCATATACTCACGAATGGCTGGAATGGGAGAGGGAAGAGCTCTATAGAGCGATACAGGGATTTCTGATGTCTGCTTACGTTTGGTCTCAATGCTGCAATAGCTATAAGGATCTCCCACATAGCCGTTCTGGCAGTTGCAGGTGGGCAAATGATTGCGGACATAGCACTCGGCATTCTGGCCACACACTCCGGGACAGGGATTGCGGCACTTCTGGTTTACACAGGCTCTGTTCGAGGCGCAATCGGAGTCCAGGACACACTCGGGACGACAGGCCTCATAGGGATTGCCGTGGTATTCGGGCAAGCACAGACAGGAGCCGACTCCATTCTGTTGCCGGCACTCGGCAAAGGCGCCACAGGGACTCGGATTACAGGGCTGCAGGACCTCTATGGGATCACGTACAACAATGGGATCACAGCGAATGAAGGGATCCCCGCTGTATCCTGGCTGGCAGTGGCACATGGCACTGTGGCTAATGACGCGACAAACTGCAGATGTGCCACAAAGCCCTGGACAGGGATCTTTGCAGGGATTGTTCACACAAACTTGGACCGTGCTGCACTCGGAGTTGGATACACACTCGGGCCTGCAGTTCGGCGGAGTGCCAAAGAAATTGGCGAGACATGAGCAGGATGGTGTATCACTTACGGGCCGACACTCGCTGTTGGGACCGCAGGGAGATGGCTGGCAGGGATCTCGGAGCACCACATCCCTCACAGGTTCAACTGTACACGGAACACATGGCAATAATTAGGTGACACTTCTGGTGATGGACTGGGGGTTAGACTTACAGATCCTATGACACTGAACGAAGGGATTGCCCGTGTAGCCAGGTCTGCAGCTGCAGAAGGGACTGTGGCTGACAGCTCGGCACTGGGCATGGGCGCCACAAGCTCCCGGACAGGGATCGACGCAACGCTGGTTCTGGCACGCCAAATGGGGTGCACAATCGTAGTTGCTGCTGCACTCGGGTCGGCAGGCGGGGGGGACGCCAAAGTAGTTGGGGAGGCAGCTGCAGATGGCCTGATCATTGCGCTCGCGGCACTCGGCATAGCTGCCGCACGGCGATGGGCTACAAGGATTGCGGTTGACATCCACTGCATCACATACGGCGCTGCACTGGACAAAGGCATTTCCAGTCATTCCCGGGGGACAGTGGCACATGGCTATGTGGCTCTGGACTTCACAGATGGCATTGGCACCGCACGTGCCGGGACAGGGATCTGTGCACTTTTGGCGAATGCAGGCCAGATGCCGAGGACACTCGGCACTCAGCACGCATTCGGGGCGGCAGGAGACATAGGGATCCCCCTGATAGTCGGCCACACAGCGGCACTGACCATCGCCCGAACAAATGGCATTGTTGCCGCAGGGACTGGGATTGCAGGGATCACGGGGTTCATCGTTGCTTGGAGGGGCTGTAGGGTTGGGATTAGCAAAGAGTTCTGAAGAGGTTAAGGTCAAGGTCTTACGTGGAGCTGGGTGGCAGGCCAAGAAGGCGTCTCCCACATAGCCCTGGAGGCACAGACAGCTGGGCACGTGATTGGTCACCCGACACTCGGTCTGCTGGCCACAGGCGCCGGGACAGGGGTCGCGACACCTTTGATTAATGCACGCCAAGTGGCTGGGACACTCTGCATTGATGGAGCACTCGGGTCGGCAATGCGGGGGAGTGCCAAAGTAGTTCGGGAGACAGGAGCACACAGCCTGCTGTTGTTGGTTGCGGCAGGTGGAGTAAAGGCCACAGGGTGAGGGTGCACAGGGATCGCGGTAGGGGGCCACATCTCTTAGGGGTGGAGGAACTGTCAAGGGTCGTAAAGGATTAACACCATTCTGGATCATAGTTCTGGATCGTTCCTTACTCTCTGGTCGTGGCAGACAGCGCACGAAGGGATCGCCCATCATGGCCGGGGGACACCTACAGATGGGACTATGGTTTCGCACCTCACAGATCGCAAGCTGGCCACACACACCAGGACAGGGATCGGCACACTTGTAGCTGATGCAAGCCTGGGTGGAGGGACACTCAGAGCTGGAGGTACACTGGGGACGGCAGTTGGGCGGGGCTCCCTCAAACTCGGGGCCACAGGAACACACGGCCTGCTCGTTGACCACGCGACAAATGGCATTGGAGCCACAGGGCGATGGCTGACAGGGATTCACGTAGTCATGGACAATAGCTATTGGTTTGGGTTAGGATACAATATACGCTTGGAATTAGTAACTAACTACGACCAAAATTTAGTACAACTGCTAAGGATAGCGATAATTGGAACTAGCTTACGTTCTGGCGGTTGACTACAATAGCGATACGGATCGCCTATAAATCCAGGGAAGCAGCTGCAGATGGGCGTGTGGTTCACGACATTGCACTCGGCGTTCTGGCCACAGCAGCCGGGGCAGGGATCGCGGCACTTCTGCTGCTGGCAGGCTCTGTTCGCAGGACAGTCCGAATTGAGGACACACTCCGGACGGCAGCCCTCGTAGGGATTCCCGAAGAACTCCGGTAAGTACTGACAGGCGCCCGCTCCGTTCCGTTGTATGCACTCGGCGTTCGAGCCACAAGGCGAGGGATGGCACGGATTGATGATCTCCACATCGTGGACAATCGGCTGGCACTGGGTGAAGGTATCGCCGGTGAGGCCCGCATCACAGATGCACATGGCCGTGTGGGAGACAACGCGACAAATGGCACTTATACCACACAGACCAGGGCAAGGATCGCGACACTTCTGATTGATGCACGCACGATTCGATGGACACTCGGAGTTGGTCACGCATTCCGGCTTGCAGTACGGCGGAGAGCCAACAAATTCCGCCAGACAGGAACACGATGCTGTGTCCCCAACGGCCCGACACTCGGCATTGGGTCCGCAGGGGGAGGGTCGACAGGGATCGCGTGGCACGAGTTCCTCCCTCTGAGGCTCGATGATCTGCTGGCAGCCCACAAACGGATTGCCCGTATAGTGGGGCAGACACGTGCAGAAGGGATTGTGATTGACGACACTACACTGGGCATTCCTGCCACAGGCTCCAGGACATGGATCCACGCACTTTTGATTCACGCACGCCTCGAGAGACACACATTCCGCGTTCGAGGTGCACTCTGGTCGACAGAGTGGAGGGGTTCCAATATATCCTGGCACGCAGGAGCATACCGCCTGACCATTGGCCTCACGGCACTGTGAATTGGGGCCACAGGGTGATGGCTGACACGGCTGGACAATGGTTGGTGCTGTGGGAAGGGCGGAAGGAAATGGTTGGAATCTCTCTGGAAATTTGGAGTAGTTTCTGATGTCTGGGATGCTTACGTGGCACTGGTTGGCACTGGATAAACGCATTGCCAGCATACCCCTCCGGACAGGTGCACATGGGCACGTGATTGAGGACCGTACAAATGGCATTGGGGGCACAGGTGCCCGGGCAGGGATCGAAGCACTTGTGACGTGCACAGGCCCGATCTCGCGAGCAATCCAAACTGGTGATGCACTCGGGACGACAGCCGATGTACGGATCCCCATGGTACTCAGGGATGCACGTGCAGACGCCTGCGTTGCACAGAGCATTTGCTCCACAGGGCGAGGGATTGCAGGGATCATCTAGCTCCACAGCTAAGGAGATCCGATCGTTAAAGCATTTCTGAATGGAACTACAAGGTCTTAAGGTCTTACGTGGTGGCGGTGGAGGTTGGGGCTGGCAGTGGGTGAACGGATCGCCCGTGTATCCCGGCGGACAGGTGCAGCTGGGCGTATGATTGATCACGTTGCAAGTGGCACCAAGGCCACAGGAGCCGGGACAGGGATTGCGACACTTCTCATTGATGCAGGCCTCTCTACTGAGACACTCCGCATTGATGCGGCACTCGGGACGGCAGTTGGGCGGAGCCCCCAAGTACCCAATCGAACAGGAACAGGCAGGAGCGTCGCCATTCGAACGGCACTCGGCATACGGGCCACAAGGGGAGGGCACACAGGGATCGACTGGTGTCTTTTGCACTGGAGGAGCCACTGGCACAGCTTTTTGGGTAAAATTGGGAGATTAAAACACTTGGACCTCTGACTCCTGGTCGTTCCGGGGTCTACTTACGGGGTTTGGGTACACAGCGGTAGAAGGCATCGCCCGTGTAACCGGCGCGACACGTACAAATGGGACTGTGGTTCACAACACGACAGGTGGCCTGCTCTCCGCAGGTATTCGGACAGGGATCGATGCACTTCTGGCCCACGCAGGCCTTATCCGGCGAGCACTCTGAGGATATGGTACACTCGGGACGACAGACAGGAGGCGCACCCACATATTCGGGAAGACAGGAGCAAACGGCCTGCTCGTTGGACTCACGACACTGGGAATTGGGGCCACAGGGCGAAGGCTGGCAGGGATTCAGATACTCCTTGATGGCTACAAAAGTTAGAGCAGGGATTGTAGGCATTGATCTCCAAGCGAATTTGTATGTCTAATGTATTACGTTGGCGTTCAAGCAGGCACTGACGGTAGGGATCGCCCGAATAACCCGTGAGGCAGCTACAGCTGGGCACGTGGTTGAGGACATTGCAGATGGCATTCTGGCCGCAGGTTCCCGGGCAAGGATCCTCGCACTTCTGCTGCTGACACGCTCTGTTGGATGGACAATCAGAGTTGAGGACACATTCCGGACGGCAGCCCTCGTAGGGATTCCCAAAGTATTCCGGCAAACACTGACAAGAGCCAGCATCCTGGCGCGAAGTGCACCTGGCATTGACGCCACAGGGACTGGGGTTGCATGGGTCCAATCGATCCAACTGCTGGATTCTCTTCTCCGTACACTGGGTGAAGGGATCACCCTCCATTCCCTCGGGGCAGACGCAACTGGGAGTGTGCGAGAGCACACGACACTCCGCCAAGAGGCCGCACAGACCAGGACAGGGATCGCGACACTTCTGCTGGATGCAAGCCTGATGAGTGGGACACTCGGAGCTGGTAACGCATTCGGGCCGACAGTTCGGCGGAGCGCCAATGTACTCGGGCAGACAGGTGCACGACGGCGTCTCATTGATCTCCCGGCACTGGGCATACGCGCCGCAGGGTGAGGGGAGGCATGGCTGACGCGGCGGCGGCACTGGCGGCTCAATGATCGGCTGGCAACTGACGAAGGGATTGCCCGTGTGGCGGTCCAAGCAGCGACAGAAAGGACTGTGGTTCGTCACATGGCACTGGGCACTGCGGCCGCAGACGCCCGGACAAGGATCGCTGCATTTCTGGTTCAAACATGCCAGGTTCAGGGGACATTCCGCGTTGCTGGTGCACTCCGGACGACAGAAGGGTGGACTGCCAATGAAGGGCGCGATGCAGGAGCAAATGGCCTGCTGGTTGGCCACGCGACACTGGGCATTCGGTCCGCAGGGCGAGGGCTGGCAGGGATTCTGCACATCATCGAGTTCTGTAATATCCAAGACTTTGAAGGGACTCCAAATGCGGGGGACAGTCGATGGATTGGGCTTACGTGGCACAGGGCTACATTGGATGAAGGCATTTCCCTGCATTTCCGCGGGACAGCGACAGTTGGGAATGTGATTCAGGACCTCGCATATCGCATTCGTTCCACATTTTCCGGGGCAGGGATCCACACACTTGTGCCGCACACAGGCGCGACTACGATCGCATTCTGTGTGGAGGACGCACTCGGGACGACAACCGGTGTAGGGGTCGCCATGGTACTCCGGCAGACACGAGCATACGCCATTATTGCAGCGGCTATTGGAGCCACAGGGTGAGGGATAACAGGGATCTTGAGGAGGCAGTGGATCTTGAACTGGGATTTTGAAGACACATAAAACATTATTTCCATTGAATGTGTAGGGCTGACCGAAGGGGGCTTACTTTTCTGCGGCGGTTCGGGATTACAAACGCTGAATGGATCCCCGATATACCCCAGAAGACAGCTGCAGATGGGCGTGTGATTGATCACATTGCACTGGGTGTTGAGGCCACAGGAGCCGGGACAGGGATCGCGACACTTCTGATTGATGCACGCCTGATGGCTGGGACACTCCGCATTGATGGAACATTCGGGTCGACAGTTGGGCGGCGGTCCTAAGAACTGGGGCAGGCAAGAGCACGAGGGTGTGCCATAGACATCGCGACACTGGGAATTGGCCCCACACGGCGAGGGTACACAAGGATCAAGGGGTTCTCTTTCAATAGGTCTCCAGGAGGAGCTGAAAAGTGGGTTTGATAGAATTTCTTCCATGGTATTCGAAGTATTCTTTGTGGCTTACGGGGCTGACGGTAGCAGCGGGTGAATGGATCTCCGGTGTATCCGCTCAGACAGCTACAGATGGGATTGTGATTGCGAACGCGACACTCGGCCTGCTGACCGCAAACATTCGGACAGGGATCCACGCATTTGCGATTCACACACGCCTTGTCGGCGGCACATTCCGAGCTGCTGGTGCATTCCGGCCGACAAGCCGGGGGACTGCCAATGAACTCGGGGAGGCAGGAGCACACAGCCTGATCGTTGATCTCGCGGCAACGCGAGTTGGGACCGCAGGGTGACGGCTGGCAGGGATTCACATAGATGGCTACGGCGAAAAGGAACACGATGGTCAGAGAAGATCATTGGGGAGACAGAGGACGGGATACTCTTACGTGGTTCGTTCTCTACGATGCGACACAGGGTGTAGGGGTCTCCGGTGTAGCCAATCAGACAATTGCATGTGGCCAGGTGATTAACCACCTGGCACTCGGCGATCTGACCGCACACTCCCGGACAGGGATCGCGGCACTTCTGATTCACGCAGGCTCTGTTCGAAGGACAGTCGGAGTTCAGGACACATTCGGGGCGGCAGCCATCGTAGGGATTGCCAAAGTACTCCGGCAGACAGGTGCAGGATCCAGCCCCACCGCGCTCCTCGCACTTGGCATTGACGCCACAGGGACTGGGATTGCAGGGCTGCAGTACCTCCACGGGGGCATCCCTGACCGGACTACACTGAGTGAATGGATGACCGGTGAAGCCGCTCTCGCACAGACACATGGCCGTGTGACTGAACACCCGACAGTTGGCATTCTGTCCGCATAGTCCAGGGCAGGGATCCACGCATTTCTGGTTGATGCAGGCCCTGTTGGTGGGGCATTCTGAGCTGGAGATGCATTCGGGCTTGCAGTTGGGAGGAGCTCCAACGAACTCTGGCAGGCAGGAACATGATGGGGAGTCTCCTGAGACGCGACACTCGGAGTTGGGGGCCGCAGGGCGAGGGCTGACAGGGGTTCTGGGGTCGATCATCGCGTTGGGGCAGCTGCTGGCAGCTGACGAATGGATTGCCGGACATGCCCGTGGGGCAGCTGCAAAAGGGACTGTGATTGACCACGTTGCAGAGGGCGTTGAAGCCGCATGTTCCCGGACAGGGATCACGGCACTTCATGTTTTGACACGACTGATCTGCCGGACAGTCCGAGTTGGTGACACACTCCGGTCGGCACTGGGGCGGACTGCCCACGTAGTCCTTCAGGCAGGAGCAGACTGCCGTGTTCTGCACAACGCGGCACTGACTGTTGGGTCCGCATGGCGTTGGCTGGCAGGGATTCTGCTGGATGATGGGCTTCGCCGGCACGGGACGACACTCGAAGAATGCGTTGCCGGACGTCCGGTCGGGACAGCGACAGATGGGTATGTGATTGGTTACTTCGCAAAGGGCATTCACGCCACAGGTGCCTGGACAGGGATCTATGCATTTGTTGCGCACGCAGGCTCGATCTCTGGGACAGTCCGTGTTCAGCACGCTTTCGGGACGACAGGAGACGTAGGGGTCGCCCTGGTATTCGGGTATACACGAGCACTGGCCATTGCGGCACACGGCATTCGAGCCGCAGGGCGAGGGATTGCATGGATCGTCGGCGACCGGTGGCGGGGATGTGGGTTCTGGTGGCTTGGGGCTACATTTGGTGAAGGGATTTCCGATATACCCATCGATGCAGGCGCAGAGTGGCGTATGATTGATGACACTGCAGACTGCATCCAGGCCGCAGGCCCCTGGACAGGGATCGCGACACCTTTGATTGATGCACGCCCTATTGGCAGGACACTCGGCGTTGATGGTGCATTCGGGTCGACAGTTGGGCGCCTGCCCCATGAAGCTGGACAAACAGGAGCACGCGGGCACCCCATTGATGTTGCGGCACTCCGAATTGGGTCCACAGGGTGTAGGCAGACAGGGATCTCTCAGGGGTTCTTGGATCCGTTCGGGCGGTGGTGCTGTTTAGGACGGATTCTTCGTTCAGTTGGCATTCTTCTACGGGATTGGGTGGGCATACACTTACGTGGAATGGGGAAGCAACGCGTAAAGGCATCGCCAGTGAAGCCACTGAGGCAACTGCAGATGGGACTGTGGTTACGCACTCGACACACGGCATTGCTGGCGCAGCTGTCGCCGGTGCATGGGTCCACGCACTTCTGGTTAACACATGCCTGATGGCTGGGACACTCGGAGGAGATGGTGCATTCGGGTCGACAGGCGGGAGGAGTTCCCACAAAGAGGGGCAGGCAAGAGCAAACGGCCTGCTCGTTGGCCACACGACACTGGGAATTGGGGCCGCAGGGCGAGGGCTGGCAAGGATTCACGTACTCTTTTTGTGGTGCTAAAAGTGGGCTCTCATTAGTGGATGAGGGAAGGAGAGGGAGGGGACGGTTCTTACGCTCTTGCATTCTGGTGCACTGGCGGTACGGATCCCCCTCATATCCAGTGAGGCAATTGCAGGTTGGGAGATGGTTTACTACCTGGCACTGGGCATTCAGGCCGCATGTTCCGGGACAGGGATCCTGGCATTTCAGCTGCTGGCACGCCCTGTTCGAGGGACAGTCCGAGTCCAGCATACATTCCGGCCGACAGCCGGCATAGGGATCTCCGAAATATTCGGGCATGCACTGGCAGGAACCGACGCCATTGCGATCACGGCAAACGGCATTCGGTCCACAGGGACTGGGGCTGCACGGAGTGCGAACCTCGATGTGGCGGATGGTTTCGGGGCTGCACTGCACGAAGGGATCGCCGGTGAAGCCTTGCTGGCAGATGCACTGCACCGCATGGCTCACTACACGACACTCGGCATTGAGACCACAGCGTCCGGGACACGGATCGACGCACTTCTGGTTGACACATGTCATCTGGCTGGTGCAGTCCGAGCTCGTTACACACTCTGGACGGCAGTTCGGAGGCCGTCCAATGTAATGTGTCCAATGTGTCCAATGTATTCCATTGGGAATAGGGGCCACATGGCGATGGACGACAGGGTTCGACTGGGACGAGATCACGCACGGGTTCAACTTGAAGGACAAACATTATTGACAATACTCGCTTAGGGCTTGCCTCTTTCTTACTTTGTGGCTGACAACGGATGAAGGGATTCCCGGTGAAGCGTTCGGGACAGGTGCAGAAGGGACTATGGCTGACCACGGCACAGTTGGCACCTACGCCACAGGTGCAAGGGCAAGGATCTCCGCAACGCTGGTTCAGACACGCCTGCGAGGGCGCGCACTCGGCGTTCGAGGTACACTCGGGGCGACAGGACGGTGGGGCACTGATATAGCTGGACAGGCAGGAGCAAACCGCCTGCTGGTTGACCTCGCGGCACTGGGAATTCGGTCCGCAGGGAGATGGACGGCAGGGATTCGTTTCCACAATAGTTTGCTGGACGGGAGAGCAGCGTATAAAGGCACTGCCAGCGGTGCCGTCCGGACAACGGCACATCGGAATGTGATTTATGACATCGCAAATGGCATTCTCGCCGCACGTTCCTGGACATGGATTCTGGCACTTGCTGCGCAGACAGGCCTTGTCCCTGGGACAGTCGGAGTTGAGGACACATTCCGGACGACAGCCGGCATAGGGATCGCCATGGAACTCGGACAAACAGCTGCAGACACCGTTGGAGCACTGCGCGTTCGGACCACACGGCGATGGGTTGCACGGATCCACATATTCACCTACGTACGATGGGGTTTTGCAGTTAGGGAGGGACTCAGCATCAAGGATCAAGGATTAGGCTTACTTTGAACGGGTTCGGGTGGCGACAGACGACAACTGCTGAACGGATCCCCAGTATAGCCTACGGGACAGACGCAAATGGGCGTGTGATTCACCACATTGCATTCTGCATCGTAGCCACAGGACCCTGGACATGGATCGATACATTTTTCACGGATGCAGGCCAGATTCGAGGAACACTCGGCACTGATGGTGCATTCGGGACGACAGTTGGGTGGTGCTCCAAGGAACTCGGGCAGACAGGAGCAGGAGGGCACGCCCTGCACATTGCGACACTGGCTGTTCAAGCCGCAGGGCGATGGCATGCAGGGATCACGATCAACACGCTGAACAACAGGCGGCGGGGCTAAAGAGGTTGCATGTCTGTTAGATCTCTCTGTTTGCCAGATAGAGTGGATGGTGGTCTTACGTGGCAGGGCATAACAACGGGTAAAGGAGTCGCCGGTGAAGCCTTGACGGCACTGACAGAGTAGACCATGATTCCGAACCCGGCACTCGGCATTGATGCCGCATGTACTCGGGCAGGGATCCTGGCATCGCTGACTTATGCACGCCTTGTCCGTGGGACACTCGCTGCTGAGCACGCATTCGGGACGGCAGTTGGGGGGCAGACCGATGTACAGCTCGATGCAGGAGCAGACGGCCTGGCCGTTGAGTTCGCGACACTGAGAGTTGGGGCCACACGGCGAGGGGTGGCAGGGTTGTGCGGGTTCGGCCAGACGGATAGCTAGAAAGGAGGACGGGACAATCTCACGATGGATCTCAGATGGGTGTGTGGGTATCTTACGTTGGGCTGGCTCCACATGGCAGTAGCGGTAGGGATCACCAATGTATCCGATGCGGCATGTACAGGTGGGCAGATGATTCGTAACGCTGCAGTCCGCATTGGTGCCGCAGGTGCCGGGGCAGGGATCGCGACATTTTTGCTGCTGGCAGGCCTTGTTCGTGGGACAGTCCGAGTTTCGGATGCATTCGGGGCGACAGGACTGGTAGGGATCGCCAAAGTAATCGGGCAGGCACTGGCAGGAGCCGATCCCATTGCGTTCGCGACATACAGCATTCGAGCCGCAGGGATTGGGTTCTCAGGGCGTCACCTGTTCATTGACAATGCGCTCTGTTTTTGTTAGGGGGGGTAGAAAGTGATTTGAGTGGGAGAGACGGAGAAACGAAGGTCAGAGAGTTTTAATTATAATTCTTCAGTGGATCTCGGGTTTAGTACAGTACAACACACACCTGGCGTTGGCCTTTGCGGCTCTGATTAATCCAATTGTGGTTACAGATTACAGTACGTTTACGGTATAGTTAGGTGTTGGCATTATATTTTGCTTCAGTTAACGAAATTTGCAAATAAAATTGCATTTCAAGTGCAGCGCTTTATGTAGTGTGTGCTGCGATATTTACCGCTTTGCTTAGTGTTGTTAAACGCTGTGCGCTGCGTGTGTGCGGTGGTAGTGGCAGTGTTGTGTAAGTGCTGTGGTTGTGCCATTGCAGTGGCGTTACTTTTTTTTCGTGTCGTAAGTAAAACAATTGTCTATTGCAGGGGTTATATCCTTGGATTTATTGATTTCTTTGGTTAAACTACAGTTTTATGTTATACATTTGAATACTCTAATTTGTTCTTGACTAGAATTTAGTTTAGATCTTTGGCGTAACGTAGATTTTGCTTTTGGTAGGGGGAACAACAACGCAGTACTCAATTTCGGGTAATTTTTGGGTTAGGTTTCAATTTGTGTTGTGGGGTAGTAAGCAACTGGAGAGACATGGTCGTGTGGTGGGCCAAATAACGAATTAGGTAAAAGCATGTCAACAGATTTGGTTCCCGCCCAAAAAAAGGCGGAGGCAACAGCAATATCATCAGGGGTTAGGAGCCAAGAGTCAAGGCGGGTATTTTTGTTTTTTGGTGGGTGAGCGGAGGCATTATAATACGGCTTGGATTTGGTTTTTGGTAAGGAAGCAAAAATAAAGGCGTGACAAGTTTGCATATTGTATATTCAGGCGTTAGGGGCAAAAGCAAGTATAAAATATTAAAAGTTAAAAGCTAATCAAAACCTTTGATTACCCCCAGCATACAGACACTTTCAGCGTCACGTTCACTCCGACAGCTCGTACAGACTGCGTGCTCGTTGAAATTTGCATTTTGCGTATCGAAGTGAAATTGTGGAATTCGATTCGGGTGTAGAAAACTTCATTTTGCAATGCATTGTGCCAGTAAGTGCGGTAATCATAGATTTTGATGAATATATTTGTATGTATGTAATTTGTGCTGCCTAAGGAGCGTATTAGAACAAGTAACACGCGTAGTGAGGTGGAACTGACTTGAAGAGGTCTGCATGAATGCATTCTGCTCTCCATCCATTCCAACAGTGAATGAATGAGTGAGTTTGTGTGCCCCAATTAATAATACATTCTTGCAGACCTCTAATGAGAATACAAAAAAGTTAGTGCAAACAAATAGTGCTTTAAAGTAAATGGAATATGCAATTGCAGCGCTTGCACTTGCAGTTTGTGTTTGGAAAAATACTTCATTTATTGTAATACGCAAAGAACGAATGTGAAACTTCAAGTATAGGGGTTTTTTACGAGGGGTACTTTCATTACAATTCAACTTTGGGGATTTCAAAGAGTTTCACATTCAAGAAGGGACCATCCAAGGCGTAAACAATGTATGGTGTGTGCATATATGTAAGCTCCAGATCGAGATCTCATTTTAGAGCGCATGTTGTACTGGGCGCCCAGTAAGCAGCAAACCAAAACCACATAAAAGTATGTATAAAAGCTGGTTTACGCCTTGGCCTACTAGATATTCGTAAAAGATAAATGAAAACGGGGTCCTACCTTGTTCCTTTTGACAGCCGGTGAACGGATCTCCTGTGTAGCCCACATCGCATGTGCAGATGGGTTGATGATTCGCCACATTGCAGCGGGCATTGAAGCCGCAGGCATTCACGCAGGGATCGGAGCACTTCTGGCGTATGCAAGCCTTGGTCGGTGGACATTCGGGATTGATGGAGCACTCGGGCCGGCAGCTGGGTGGCGTTCCAATGAAGGTGGCGGCGCACGAGCAGGCGGCATTTCCATTGAGCACCTTACACTCCGAATTTGGTCCGCAGGGTGATGGTTGACATGGTTCCGTGGGTGTTGGCGGCTTGCGCTCTTCCTGGAAGCAGCGCGTGAACGGATCTCCCGTGTATCCTGAATTGCAGGAGCACGATGGATTGTGGTTGATCACTTGGCAGCGTGCGAACTGGCCGCAGGCGCCGGGGCAAGGATCGACACACTTCCTCTGTACGCAGGCAGTTTGCAGGGAGCATTCGGAGCTGACTATGCACTCTGGCTTGCAGGCGGGCGGTGAGCCCAGCATGCCTTGCTGGCAGGCACACACCGGTCCTTGGGCCGACACATGACACAGGCTGTTGGGACCGCAGGGATTCGGCTGGCATGGGTCCTTGGCCACGGGCGTCTCCAGGCGGCAGTGCACGAACGGATCACCCGTGTAGCCCTGCAGGCAGCTGCAGATCGGTATGTGATTGGAGACATCGCACTGCGAGTTCTGGCCACACACTCCGGGACAGGGATCCACGCACTTCTTGTTCAAGCACGCCTTGACGGGGGCGCAGTCGGTGCTCAGCGTACACTCCGGACGACATCCCGTATAGGGATCGCCCTGGTAATCTCTCAAGCAGGTGCAGGTGCCCTCGTGGCATTCCGCATTGGCTCCACACGGTTGCAGGTCGCAGGGATCCTGTGGTTCGTTCAGTGGAGGCTTCGTGATCGTCTCAATGATCTCCACGCATTGAACGAACGGATCGCCGGTAAATCCACCGCGGCAGGTGCATATGGCCAGGTGGTTCTGGATGCGACACTCGGAGTTGATGCCGCAGGAGCCGTCGCAGGGATCGCGACACTTCTCGGCAATGCAGGCGCGGTTCGGCGAGCAGTCCGTATTTACAATGCACTCGGGTCGGCAGTTGGGCGGTGCCCCAATGTAGTTGGGCAGGCAGGAGCAGGAGGCCTGCTCGTCGCGCACGCGACACTCTGAGTAGAGGCCGCATGGCGAGGGCTGGCAGGGCGTCTTGGACTCCGGAGCATCCTTAGGTCCGGCAACGGCAGGCGCTGGATAACAACGGGCGAACGGATCGCCTGTCAAATCCGAGCTGCAGATGGGATTGTGATTGATCACCTCGCACTGGCATTGATGCCGCACGTCTTTGCACAGGGATTGCACAGCGGAACTTGTGGCAGGCCTTGTTCGCTGACACTCGGCGTTCACCGTGCATTCCGGCTTACAGTTCGGCGGAGCTCCAATGAAGCTCTCCAGGCAGGAGCAGACGGCCAGTCCGTTGGCAATGCGACACTTGCTGTTGGCGCCGCAGGACGAGGGGATGCAGGGATCGGCGACTGGCGGTGGCGTTGTGGGCTCCACGCGGCGACAGTTGGTAAACGGATCGCCCGTGTGACCATCGAGGCAGACACAATTGGGCACATGATTCACGGCATAGCACTGGGCATTCAGGCCGCAATTCCCGGGCAGGGATCCTGACACTTGTTCCGTATGCATGCCTTGTCCGTGGTACAGTCCGAGCTGAGCACGCACTCGGGTCGGCAACCCTCGTAGGGATTGCCTTGGTACTCGTCGATGCACTTGCAGGCAGCAGCTCCGTTCCGTTCAATACACTCGGCATTGGCGCCACAAGGCGAAGGTTGGCACGGCTTGACCGGTTCCTCCTGTTTGCGGCACACACTACACAAACGCGTTGCCAGCATATCCCGCTGGGCAGGAGCACGAGACCGTGTGACCGATGACGCGGCATTCGGCGTTTGTGCCACGAGCCGGGGCAGGGATCGCGACACTTGTTGTTGATGCAGGCCTGCGTCGAGGCACAGTCGGGATTGATAATGCACTCGGGCCGGCAGTTGGGTGGCGAACCAAAGAACTCTGGCTGGCACTGGCACACGGGTCCTCGCTCATCGGGCTTGCATATGAGTTGGGTCCGCACGGCGAGGGCACACATGGATCTCTGGGGCTTCCTTAACATCTGGAGGCGTGGCCACGGCTATCTCTGTGCACTGCTTGAAGGGATCTCCAGTTCGGCCAGGAGGGCAGCCACAGATGGGGCTGTGATTGATGACCTCGCAGCGTGCCTCCAGGCCACAAGCAGCGGCGCAGGGATCCACGCACTTCTTGTTGACACAAGCCTGTAGCGCAGAGCATTCGCTAGATACCACGCATTCGGGACGGCATTGAGGCGGCGCCCAATGTATCCTTCCAGGCACGAGCAGACGGCATGTCCGTTGACAATCGCGGCACTGGCTGTTCGAGCCGCATGGGGACGGAGCACAGGCCTGGACTTTAGGTGTATCTTCGATGAGCTTCACGCGACAATTGGTAAACGGATCGCCCTCGTAGCCCTGCAGACAGGAGCATACGGGTATGTGGTTCATCACCTCGCAAACGGCATTGTTGCCACAGATTCCGGGGCAGGGATCCACACACTTGTTCCGCATGCAGGCCTTGTCCCGCGGCCAGTCCGCCGAGAGGGTACACTCGGGTCGGCAGCCTTCGTAGGCGTTTCCCTTGATAGTTATTCTGGCAGCGGCACTCACGGCAAAGCAGTCGGCATTCGGGCCGCATGACTCGGATTGCACGGATCGTTGGCGACCGGCGGCGGGGTCTTGCCTTCTGGTTTCTCGGTACAGCGCACAAACGGATCGCCTTCGTAGCCCTCGATGCAGTTGCAAATGGGCAGATGGTTCAGAACATGACACTTGGCCTCGAAGCCACAGGAACCAGAGCACGGATCGCCGCACTTTTGATTGATGCACGCCTCCGTGGGTCCGCATTCGGAGTTCAGGACACATTCCGGCCGACAACGTGGTGGGGGCGCCAATAAAGTTCGGCAAGCAGGAGCAGGCCGGACTATTGCCCACAATCTGGCATTGGGACCGCAAGGTGAAAGGCACACAAGATGCAGCTGGAGGTTCTGCTGTAGTCACATCGTGTGTTATAGCTGCGGATGGGACGGGACGAACATTAGAATTCTCTTTCATTTGATTCTTTCATATACTTACGTATCCTAGAGCACTGAACGAAGGGATCACCGCTCATGCCGCGGGGGCATGTGCAGATGGGCTGTGGTTCTTGGTACTGCAGATGGCACGAATGCCGCAGGTGTGCAGACATGGGTCCCACACACTTCTTGTTCACACAGACCTCCGCACTGACTATACACTCGGGTCCGCAGTTGGGCGGCTGATTGACGAAGCCCGACTGGCAGGAGCATACGGCCTGGTTGTTGATGCTGCGCAGTTGCTGTTGGGGCCGCAGGGCGAGGGATTGCACGGGTTCAGCGGTGGACGCGGGGTAACCGGCACGGGCTTGCAGCTGAAGAACGGATCTCCGCTGTAGCCGGCCGGACAGGTGCAGGTGGGCACATGGTTATCCACTGTACAGAGAGCGTACTCCCCGCACATATTGTCGCAGGGATCGATACACTTGAAGCGGACACACGCCTGGGCGGCCGTGCACTCATCGTTGATCTCGCACTCGCGTCGGCAGCCGCGCTGTGCATCGTAGGGATTGCCCTCGAAGCCCTCATGGCAGTAGCAGGCGCCGGCTCCGTTGCGTTCGCGACACTCGGCATGGGGGCCGCACGGCGAAGGTTCGCATGGCGATGTGGGCGCCTCGGTGGGCAGCAGCAGGGGAATCAGCTGGCACCCGAAGAGCGGCTCACCCTCGTAGCCATCGGCACAGGAGCAGACGGCATTGTGTTGCACTACCTGACAGACGGCGTTACTGCCGCATGAGCCAGGACAGGGATCGACGCAGCGCTCCTGCTGGCAGGATAGATGATTCTGGCACTCGTCGTTGTTGGTGCACTCTGGCCGGCAGTTGGGCGGACGTCCAATGAAGTTGGCATTGCAGGAGCAAGCCGCTTGGTTTCCAATCTCGCGACAAATGGCATTGGGGCCACAGGGTGAGGGCACACACGGCTCTTGATATTCCTTGGCATCTTCGCTGGGTGTACAGCCGCTGATGGGATCGCCGGTCATGCCGGGCACGCAGCTGCAGATGGGATTGTGGTTCACCACCTGGCACTTGGCATTGTTGCCGCAGGATCCGCGACAGGGATCGGCGCACTTCTGATTGATGCACGCCCGATTCTGGGGGCACTCGGAGCTGACGACACATTCCGGCTTGCAGCTGGGCGGTGCTCCGATGTAGCCCTCTAGGCAGGAGCAGACCGCATGGCTGTTCGTGTCCAGGCACTGGCTGTAGGGTCCACAGGGCGAGGGCTGGCATGGGTTCTCGGGTCGTCGGGTCACCACTTCAAGCAGAGCGCAGGAGCGATGCGGATCACCCGTGTAGCCCTCGAAGCAGTTGCAGTTGGGACCATGATTAGGACACGGCACTCGGCATTGATTCCGCAGGCACCGGGACAAGGATCCTGGCACTTGCTGTTGATGCAGGCACGGGAGCGATCGCAGTCATCGTTCTGGACACATTCCGGGCGGCAGCCACTGTACGGATCGCCAAAGTATTCAGGCAGACAGGTGCAGGAGCCGGCGCCGTTGCGCTCGCGACACGGCATTGGCGCCGCATGGACTGGGATTGCAGGGATTGCGTGGCGCCTCCGTTGGCGTAACTATATAGGGCAGAAAATAAGGGAAAAGTGGTGTGAGTGGAGGAGGATAAGGTATACGTTGGCATGCAATTGATATATACTTTGCTGTACAACAGCACAGCCGGAGAACGGATCGCCGGTGTAACCAGGCACGCATTCGCATGTTGGACGATGCTTGATCACCTGGCACAGAGAGTTCTGGCCACAAGCTCCAACACACGGATCTGCGCAGCGTTGGTTGACACACGCGAGATTCGCCGGACAGTCCGCACTACTCATGCACTCGGGCCGACAGTTGGGCGGCCGGCCGAGGTAGTCCGGCAGACAGGAGCATGCAGGCGAACCGCGCACATCGATGCATTTCGAGTTGGGTCCGCACGGCGAGGGTACACAGGGATTACCGGACTTTTCGGGTATTGTGGCACCGCCAGCTGCAATGGGACGCATGTATTGAAAACAAGTGAGAATCAACGAGGAGAATGCGAGAGAGTAGGCTCTGGGCACGACAAGCAAGAGAGTACCTTCGGAAGTAAATCTGAAGAATATAAATATGAGAGCTACGGGAGAATCAACAGGAATCATAATGAGAGCGTACGTTTTCGTCGTTGGTTGAACGGATTGTACTGGCGTTTCTTATAGGAAATTCATCCTCCAGGTGTTCTATAATCTTTGGATATTATCTATCTCATCATTTCATATGGCAACCGTGATTAAAAGAGTGCATCCCAACTGGTGGAATCTGGTATCCACCAATTGGCTTGCCCTCCCTTCGAAGGGGACATCGTATCATGCTTACACAATATTTTAGTGCACCGATTGAAGGGATCTCCGGTATAGCCTGGGGCACAGGAGCATGCAGGATAGTGGTTTATGACCTGACAACGTGCCTCAATGCCGCATGTGCCCGGACACGGGTCCACACACTTCTGATTCTGACAGTTGAGATCTTGGGCACAATCGGAGCTTATGATACACTCGGGCCGACAGTTGGGGGCAGAGCCAACGAGTCCGGGCTGGCAAGAGCACACGGCATGGTTATTGATCTCCCGACACTGGCTGTACGGACCGCACGGCGAGGGTCTACAGGGATTCACATCGGCCAGGGCTGGGGGAATGGGTTTTAGTAGGGTTTTAGTCTTGTTTTGTTTCTTTTAGGATTTGCAGGTACACCTACGTGGGGGTGGGAGTTGGGGTATTTCACGGCATGCCTCGACGGATTTCCAGTGTAGCCGGCCAGGCACGAGCAGCTGGGCAAGTGATTGGACACACGACACTCGGCGTTCAGGCCACAAACGCCAGGACAAGGGTCCACGCATTTCTGGTTGACGCAGGACTTATCGCGTGAGCAATCGCTATTAACCACGCACTCGGGACGACAGCCACTGTACGGATCGCCAAAGTACTCTGGCAGACACGTACAGGAGCCGGCGCCGCTGCGTTCACGGCACTCGGCATTGGGGCCACAGGGCGAGGGTTGGCAGGGTGTCAGGCGCTCATCGGGTTCTGGCAAAGCTGCAGGTCACACGAAACGAGATTAGGTCGGATATCAAAAGGGAAACAGCTGCGAAGTGACGCGCTTACGTTGCGGATTGCAGCCAGCGAATGGATCGCCAGTGAAGCCATTGTCGCACGAACAGATGGGCGAGTGGCCAACGACACTGCAGTAGGCATTGAAGCCGCATGACCCCGGACAAGGGTCTGTGCAGCGCTCATTGATGCACGCCAGATTGGCAGGACACTCGGAATTGAGGGTACACTCTGGGCGACAGTTGGGCGCACGGCCCACGAAGTTGGGCAGACAGGAACAGACGCCAGTCTCGCCCACCACGCGACATTGGGAGTTGCGGCCGCAGGGACTGGGCACGCAGGGATTCTCATTGGACTTTGGCTGCTCCGGTTCTTGTTGCCGTGGAGCGCATCGCACAAACGGATCGCCGCTGTAGCCACTGGGGCACGAGCAGATGGGATTGTGATTCGTGACCTTGCAAATGGCTCGTGGCCCAGGTTCCGGGACAGGGGTCTACACAGCGCAAGTTCACGCAAGCCCTGTCTTGAGAGCACTCGGAACTAACAGAGCACTCCGGTCGACAGGCGGGCGGAGTGTGCCCACATAGTTGGTGGTGCATGAGCAGACCGCATGTCCGTTCACCTCGCGGCACTGGCTGTACGGGCCGCATGGCGACGGGCGACACGGCTGGACAGGCGGGGCCACTAGAATTCATGGGGAAATAAAATTCATTCAGCCGATGTTTCAGGAGAAGTGACACAAAGATAGACCCTACATTTTGGTATTTCCCGGCAGTACTGCGATGGGTTGCCCGTGTATCCGGAGGGGCAGCTGCAGCTGGGCGCGTGATTAATCACATGACACTCGGCGGAGACACCGCAAACACCTGGGCAGGGATCGCGGCACTTGTTGTTGAGGCAGGCGCGGTTCTTCGAACAGTAGCTGTTCAGGACACACTCCGGCCGGCATTCGGTGTACGGATCGCCACTGTATTCGGGCAGGCAGGAACAGGAGCCAACACCATTGCGCTCGTTGCACACCGCATTGGCGCCGCAGGGACTGGGATTGCAGGGCTGTGCAACCTCGGGCGGAACGATAGCTAAATGAATGAAGTGGGGAAAGGGTAGCAGTTTAGCAATGGGGGCAATGACGTTGGCGTTGCGTCGAGTGTGGCTTGACCCTTACTTTGTGGACTACACTCGGAGAATGGATCGCCCGCATAGCCCTCGAGGCAGCGGCATATCGGTCTATGATATTTACAAGACACGTGGTCTGACTTCCGCAGGTACCCACGCAGGGATCCCGGCACCGCAGATTGATGCAGGCCATGTTGCCGGCACACTCCGAGTTCGAAGTGCACTCGGGTCGGCAATTTGGCGCCCTACCCACATAATGTTGCAAGCATGAGCAGACGGGCTGATCATTAGCCGACACCGACACTGAGAGTTTGGCCCGCACGGCGAGGGCACGCATGGCTCGACGCGATCATGGACGATGGGGCGTTCTAAATGTACCATCACACCAGGACACCAGGAAACCACAAATATGATAACATCATGCACAAAGATAAGCCATAAAATAGAGTACATACAAGGAGATAATAAAGTAAAGATATAGTATACATATATATATAGAGAGGATGATGTCAAGCATGGAATGAAATGGAGAAAGCACTAGAGGGGCACTTCCGTGATGGTGATGATGAGAGAAATTTCGGTTTCTATACCCTTGCAGATGAATAGACTCGAAGAGTGTACCCTATCTCCACCACTAGCTCTTTCCCTAGAGACTAGTACTCCTTCAAAGTATATGGGCTGGAAAAATCTCGGAGCAATCGGAGCAATATCAGAAATGGGAGGGCGTCTGTCCGGTTTAAAAGATAGATATCTTGATTCACAAATCGTATTTGAACAATCGGT